ATCTGAAGCAAGCTTATTCCTAATTTGAACTAATAAAATAAAATAAAAAATAATAATAATAAAAATAAAAGTAACTTACAAAGGAATGTTCTTTGTAAGATGTTTTCCTTGAGGGCCCCACAGAAGTTGGGTGTTCCCTGAAGCTAATCAGGGCCTGTGGATGATGAATGACTCCCCAGGTCCTCATGACATTCCTCACCATTTGGGAGCTGATATGGAAGATTATTAAGCAACTTCCTTTCTCTGTTTCATCCTTCTATAAAACCAGCTGTGTTAGCTTTGCACCACTGTGACAAAATCTCTGAGACAATTAGCATAAGAGGAGAAAGGGTTTTGTTGTTGATGTTTTTGTTGTTGTTGTTGTTGTTGGTGGTGGTGGTGGTGGTGTGTGTGTGTGTGTGTGTGTGTGTGTGTGTGTGTTCATAGTTTCAGAGGTTTCAGTACATGGTCAGTTGTCTCTGTTGCTCTAGACGTATGGTGAGAAGGACCTTCATGGTAGGGATGATTTCTCAGGAAGATTGTGTCACCTCCTGCTAGAATCTTGGGCACTCAGGGTCTACACCACACCATCAGTCAATGCTTGAGTTCCAGGAAGAATGAATCATTGTAGTGGAAATCTGGGGCCTGGCTAGAGAAAGGGTCAAGTCCAAGCTCAACTAGCAATGGAGGAGACTATGGTCTGTTTACTTGAGATCCTGGGAGTCTGTCACTGGCCCCTTTCTGGGGGTAGTTCCACTGAGCCACATGCCATACATGACATGACTCTTCTTATGGTATGCACTTACCATATACCACCAGTCTCTGCAATATTCTGAGCTATAGGTGTCATCAAGAAGGCACCATGATCTGCGACTATAAAATGCATCTACTGGCTTCATTCCTGGATGTTATGGAGAAACATAAATTAATGTATTAATTGGGCAGGACTCACATCTATAATGAATGGACTACAAGTATCAGGGGTGAGATAAAAATGGCAGCTTTTGTGTTCACATCCCAATCTGATGTGAACACACCTTTATCCAACATCTTCCAAGACACCTGAGGACTCTGGGGCCCTCTTGTCCCTGTTGGCCACTAGCTGATGCAAAATTGTTGTGTGCAGGACTCAGGAGGCAGTCCATAGCCATCCTCAGTGACATTTATCTCACTCTTCAAATCCCAGGAGATACAACACATACCATGCCTGACCGGTACCTAGACATCTGGGAAGTGCACCCCAGCTGAGCACCCATTGGAAAGGGAAATGAGGCATGGTGAGTCTGCAGAGTCAACCCTACTGCCAGACAAGGTTGGGGGAGGAGGGGAGCAGTGAGGAACCAGAGTGGAACTATGCTCTTTGACTTAACAGCTGAGGTTGGTGGCCAGAGATGTTACCAAGGAAGATGATATTCGAAGTGGGATCTGAGGACCAGAAAGGATATATATAGGCACAGGAAAAGTTAGGGGAGAATATTCGAGACTGAGAGACAAGATGCACTGCATCATTGATACAGAAGAGCATGAAGTGCTATAAGGACTTGAAAATAGTCTGAGGTACAGAGTCCAGAGGGAAGAAAGAGAGAAGAAAAGAAAAGAAAAGAAAAGAAAAGAAAAGAAAAGAAAAGAGGAGGGAAGGGAAGGAAAGGAAAGGAAGAGAAGAAGAGAAGAGAAGAGAAGAGAAGAGAAGAGAAGAGAAGAGAAGAGAAGAGAAGAGAAGAGAAGAGAAGAGAAGAGAGCCTTCGAGACATCTTTAAAGAAGCAATTGCTGACTGTTTCCACCACCATCAGGTCAGGAGAGGGACTACAGCTAAAAGGGAGAGTGTGGCTTCAGTCTGAATGCAACAAAGGAAAATGGGAATCCCCAGCCCAGGCTCAGGATGGAAAACTACTCAGAAGAAACATTTGGGGTAAAAGCTGCCTAAGAGGATTCTTACAGAAGGCAAGCCAGGGAGGGGAGAAATACTACCTGGGGGGTGGTACAAGATGAGGATCCCGGTTAAATATGGTTGATGATGAGACGTGGAAGGGAGTTCTGACTAAACAGAATTAGGAGGATTCTTGCTAAAATTAGACCATGAAGAAACAAGCAGGGAAGCAGAGAATACAGACAGGGCCAACCTGAGGCGGAGCTCTGAGGAGCTAACCAAGGCTTTGAGTAGGGGGAGAATTTTTGTGTTCTGGATAGTTTCTTATCAACTTAAAATAAACTAGAGTCATCAGGAAGGAGGGAACCACAACAAGAAAATGCCTCCATCAATTGGCCTGGAGGCAAGTGTGTAGTGCATTTACTTGATTAATGATTGATGTTGGAGAGGCCACCCCACTGTGGGCAATGCCCCCTAGGCGGCCAGTCCTGGGAGGTATAAGAAAGGTAGTGAGCATGATCCTGGCAGCAAGCCAGTAAGCCAGCATTCCTCCAGGGCCTCTGCTATAATTCTAGCCTTCTAGTTTGGGCCTTGAGTTCCCTTCACAAAAGAATATAAGCTGTAAAACGAACTAGATCTTTTCCTTCCACAAGTAAGTTTTGGTCAGTGATCATCACAGCAACAGAGAGTAACTAATATATTTATCTAGAAAGAACTGGATGGTATGAGGAGAGCAAGGGTGGGGCTCAAGGGTCTACTCTTGGAATCTGAACTGTTAGTTTGGTGACAGGGACATGAATGGATGTACACCTTTAAGACTATGCTTAAAATGGACAGAACTAGAAAAAAAATCCTAAATGAGGTAACCCAAAACCAGAAATACAAATATAGTATATACTCACTCATAAAAGGATACCAGACATAAAGCAAAAGATAACCAGCCTACAATCCATAACCCCAGAGAAGCTTGAACCCTCTTCCAGAAACAAATGGAAGCAGATACAGAAATCCACAACTAACCAATGGGCCAAGCTCCTGGAGTACAATCAAAGGGAGGGAGGAGCAACAATATGAACAAAGGAGTCAAGACCATGATGGGGAAACCCACAGAATCAGGTGACCCAAGCTACTGGGAGATCACTGACTCAGGTCTGACAAATGGGGAATCTGCATAAGACCAAACTAGACTCCCTTAATATAGGTGACAATGGTGTGACTGGTACAATACATGAGGCCACTGGCAGTGGGGCCAAGATCTAACACTAATGTACAAACTGACTTAGTGGAGCCCATTCTATATGGAGAGATACCAAGCCCAGCCTAGACACAGGGGTATGGGGATAGAGAGGTGCCTTGGTCCTACCTCAACGAGATGATGGGACAGACTTAGTAGACTTCCTATGGGAGGCCTTACCCTCTCCGTGGAGCAGATGAGAGGAGGAGTGGAGGAGTGGGAGGAGAGGAGGGAGGATAAACTGGGATTGGAATGTAAAAAATAATAAAAGAGGGAAAAAAGACTATTCTTAAAATTATGTATTGAAACTTTCCCCCAATGAGAAAACAGATAGAAAATCTGGGACATGGAGACAAGGCAGTCTTCCCCAGGTAAGACAGGTAGACTCCCAATAAAGAAGTCATCAGATACCACATGTCATGAAGGAGACAGGAAATGAGCACTGAATGATTTAATGAGATAAATGTGATCTGGATGGTCCAAGATGGAAGCTCCAGGAAGCAGGGACATCAGATGGCAATGAACACTGAATATGAGAAGCTAGGGGTGTGTGAGGGTTACAGGTGAGTCAGACACAGACAGACCAAGAAGGGATGTGAAACACATTTGGGAGACCCAAAAACACTGGGCCTCGGGGGAAGTGAGACCCCACAGTGCTCTGTGTGGACAGTGATACAATGGACCACACACAAGAGTTCTAAAGTTCCTAGTAGCATGCACTCTTAGAAACAATGCTTGCCATTAAATCAAAGAAGCTCACAGTTTCTGGTCCTAAAGCCTAAAGGAACCATCTCATATGTGTGCTGATAAACAGATGTGATTGTAAAAATTTCCCCTGCTTTACATTCGTCAACATAGACTAATAACTACAAAAAATACCACATAACTAAGGAACTTTCAGTCTATGAGGAACCAAAGATTCTCCACTGGTGTGAACAGTTCTTGGGTGGTTTTGCATAATCTGGAAGTAAATTTTAGAACAGAATACTGAGTGGGCTGATGATCTAAGCCGTTTTCATAAATGAGCCCAAATAGGGTAGCTGAGAGAAGCCTCAACTGAACTATATTGTTCTAACAAAAACTCAGTGGCTCCATTTCTGGATGTTGGGATGGGTGCCTGGACCTGGGAACAGATCCATGAAGAAACAGGAGCTCTGCCCACGAAGTAGTTAGTTGCAGGAGCTGGGGGAGGTAGGTGCCTAGACAGAGCTCTGCAAACGTGCTGTGCTATGGTGCTGGGGACCTCCTCCTCAGTTGCCTGGTCCTGCCCGACTGCAGGGCAGGTGTTGTGGAGGCCTCTCCCATCACAAAAGTGAATTGAAATGAACACAAGATTTCCTCCAGGAAACCACGGCCCAGGCTTTCTATGCTGTGAGCTAGCACTGGGTTTGCAGTGACACGTGATCTGTGTTTTCTGGCAGGCCGGTGTCGGGCGGTTCTGGAGCCTCTTCCGGATCATGTGAGTAGGCTGTGTTCCTTAACTGTCTTTACAAAGTAAGTGCTGTAGTTTGGGCCTCTTTTTATGTCAGCCGATGAATTTAAAAGGAAGAAACGATTCTTCCAAGTGGCATTCTCGCCTAGTAAAGAAAGTCGTATTTCACCGTGTTCCATTTCTCACGGTCATTGCTAAAGCAGACAGAGGTGAAAATATTAACACAGAGTGCTGGTGAGTGTGTTCTGAAACAGGCGCTTTACAACATTCATGGTGAAATTTTAAATTGGAACAAACTTTTTGGAAGGTAATTTCAGGACAATGTTCACTTAATAATATAAAAATATCCTGGTGGGTTTTTTGTTTTGTTTTGTTCCTAGAACTCCATGTTTGAGAGTTTAAAAGAAAGAAAACAAGATACATTTCAGAACACTATTTCACCAAACTCACTGATATTTTGTAACATAGCTTATATAGTAGCATATTGAAATCACACTAAACATTTGATAATATAAAATTTATTGGACACTTGAGCATTTTGTGAAGTTACTGGAATCACTGGCCAGAATTTTAACAACTAAAGGAAAAGATTAAAATTTATAACATTAACTCAAATATCCAATATTATAAAAAATTTGTAAATTACATATCCATATAATTTACATATTTTATATAGCTATAAATGTTATCTGAAGAATTGGCTTGTTGTTATTTGATGCATGCCTTTAAATTTTTAATTAAAGCTAAGGACCACACACATACACACACACACACACACACACACACACACACACACACACACACACACACGAATACATACACACACACAAATTTGTTCTGACATAGTGGCTCATGGGTAAAGAATATCAAACCTGAAGTTAGGGACTTACCAGAGAGACATGTAAAGGACAGTAAGTGAGATAGGTATGATGGATTATATTTAAAACTCAACCCCTCAGTAAATATAAAGTCATGCTGTTTGTAGCCACGCCTATGGCCAATGAGGTAAAAGTCAGTACACATTCTCTTGGTCCCTGGGTGACAGCAGCCATCATCCTGTTTTTTGCCACCTCTTGCCCCCATGAACATTAGCCAAAGGATGAAATGACAAAGTGACTTCAGCTCATGTGCGGAGTTCTTCAAGCAGGTCCTGGGTCTCCGCACCCCCCCCCCCGAAAATGCTGGAAGTAGCACACAGGACACAAAAGGTGCCCTTTAGCATTGTCCCCAAGAGGCCCCTATCTCTACTACTCCCCAAACTCATTTCCAGGTGTGACTCTGGAGTCTATGCCCAACCTTCCTGTACTGAGTGGGTCAGAAACCCTCTGTTGTTCATTCATGGTTTCACTAAGCTCAGAGCACTTGGCTCTGCTTCACTCAGGTCATCAACCAGAGAGAAGTCATCTAATATCCTGGGCCCCTGCCATAGGACAGATGCCAAGAATCTTTCTGTGTTCACTCAGCCTCCCACCAAATAAGCAAGTTTAATTACCTCTATCTGCCTTCGGAGAAACAAAGCAGCCTCCCTGTGGTCAGAATGTGGCCTCTACAACTTATGCCTAGGACATAGTGGCAACACACCCATGCTATCACCAATACTCTCCCAACCAAAATGTCCCATCTTAATCAAGTCTATCTCTGAAGGCCCAACAAGAGGGCCAGTTTCACGGGTGGTTATGCCTAAACTCTGACTGACAACTCTAATGGCACCATGTGGCTCTTTACCTGGTCATTTAGACCCCTCTCCTGTGGGTGAGCAGCTCTGGTCTTCCACCTCCTCCAGCTTAAGAATCACAGGGTCTCTTAAACCTGATCTGGTTAACTAGCCTCAGCTCACACACAGCCTGATTGGGCTTTCTTCATGGAGCATTGCTGGGGATGTGGACTATGCAGCTTTCTTCATGGAGCACTGCTGGGGATGTGGACTATTGGGCTTTCTTCTTGGAGCACTGCTGGGGATGTGGACTATTGGGCTTTCTTCTTGGAGCACTGCTGGGGATGTGGACTATTGGGCTTTCTTCTTGGAGCACTGCTGGGGATGTGGACTATTGGGCTTTCTTCATGGAGCACTGCTGGGGATGTGGACTATTGGACTTTCTTCATGGAGCACTGCTGGGGGATGTGGACTAGCACACTTAAAGGTAAAACTGCTGACTCATCCTGTCTTCCCTTTTCTGTGGAGAACACAGCTTCCTAAACCATGTTCTGGACACCCTTGCTCTGTCCCAGATGGGAGCCCAGAGACTTCCCCAGGTGGGCCTGGCAGGTCTCGCCTGCCCCGTTTTCTTAGAAACTGGGCTCCCCTGGGACTCCTCCCTAGCTTTCCAGACAGGACAGAGAATCTGCTGGCCAGGGTGCTCCTCCCCCATCTTCAACATTCTCCTACACTGCCAGTCAGAGCATCAGAGCAGCCATAGGAGCCTTGACTGAAAGGGCTTTTGTGCATGAGTAGTCTTACTTCCGCACCCCCATCCGATAAACATGTATAGCTGTAATTAATAACTCTACTCACTCATAGGAGTGTGTGTCTGGCCATCTAACCCAAAAGTAAATTAAACTGAACCCTAATAACTAGATACATTACAGCATAAATATTTTAAATCACACCCTTAGGAATAATTATATCCCCAGCCTTATTAAAATCTATGACTTCATTTACCAATCATATATTAGAAATCTACTATAGAAAGCTACAAATACAATCAAGGCTATTAAGCAACAACTTCAACTTTACACTCTTTTTATTTTTTTTTAACCCTTGACTATAAACTGTTAAGAGTTCAAAAAGGAGTTCTAGGGCTGCCCTATCCCTGGAGCAGAATTCCCTCTGAAGAGTAAGAATCTATGCCCAGGCTAACACTGTGCATCCACCATTGTGCTAACTACCCAGAAGTCCTCCTATGGAATGTCCTGTACTCTCTGACTTTCATCTTGAGATATAAAATAATTTTTAATTCAGGTGCTGGTCAGGTGGAAGTGTTGGAGGGATTCAGCCCACCTACAACCGGTGTGGCTTTGGGAAGTCACCAATATCAGTCTATATTTGCAAAATGAAGATACGATTTCCTTATTTGAGACACCACCTGGTGAATGTACATGAGAACAGATGTCTCTGTGTCCTCAAGTTCCCAGCATCACATGGTGGTCCTTAGACCTTTCAGATAGTCACCATTTATATACATTATACCTGGATTTCTCCCTTAGGTGCAAATGGAGAGTAATATCACTTCTAGGTAAAGCTGGGCATTCTGAGACTCCTGGTGGCTTTGCACGACAATTGTCAGATCCCTGCTTACACAGAGCAGCTTCTGGCTGCAGACCCAACCTAAAGGAACTCACTCAGGAATGGCTGTGGCACCCCAATGAGAATTTATCTGCTGTGAACTGGTTCCCTTTCCTGTCATCCCCAGACTTCAGCCCCAGACCTGTATAAGCCAGTTTACCCTAGCAAAATGCCACCATGGTCTAGGTGGCTTGAATCCAGATCATTGTCATTTTTTACCTCATCCCTGAAAAACAAAAATTCAAAGTCAAGGTACCAAAGGGTTGATAAGGACTGTCCCCCTATGCAGATAACAGGAGTCATCTCCTATGTCCTTCTCTTGGTGCATGGATGTGATGGGAGGGTCATAGGAATTTGAGCATCCTCTTGTCAATTTTTATAAAAATTTCTGTCCATTTACTGAGAAATGCAGCTTGGATTTTTATATGAATCCTACTGAATTTGTATATCAATTTTTAAAGAATTCTATTTAACAACATTAAGTCCTCAGCTCATGAACAGTGAGCCTCTTTACATTCATTGTGGCCTTTTTCCATGATCTTCAGCAGTATGCTGATGGGAGGAGTGCTTCTGTGTATGTGTTTGTCTTACTAGATCATAAATAAAGTACTGTTTGGCCAATGAGGCAGCAAGTTAGGTGGGACTAGGAGTCAAGGAGGATTCTGGGAAATGTAGTAGAGATCCAGGCAGGAAGTGACATAGCAGGCAGACTTATACATAAGCAAGGACAAGAAGGAAGTCGTTCCTTTTCTCTTGCACTTCCTCCTGGTCTCTGCTCTGGAGTCACCATGTGATCCGCTGTCAAGAGAGGGTGCCAGCGGAAGGTGTCCTCGATAAGTCTTATAAAATATATAGATTTATGATAATTAAGACTGAGCTAGCATATAAGAAATCTTAGTCTTTGGCCAAGCAGCATTTGTACTTAATATAAGTGTCTATGTATTATTTGGGGCCCTAACTCAGTGGGCGGAACTTGGGCGGCTTTGGCATAAAGACTTATTGTTACAGTATGCCTTCAGGTTTTTAGCACAAGCTTCACTTCTGTGGCCCAGAATACTCAAGGGTTAAATTCTTCTTGATATTTTGCTGTTGTTCTTTCCTTTTCTATTCTCAGATTGCTATCGGTAATTTATAGAAAAGCTAATTGCTGTTAGCATTGCATATAAACAAACTGAACTGTGAATGGGATCAACCTTATATCCTGAGACCTTGCTGAACTTTTGATTAGTTCTAAGCTGTACTCGTTTTTCAGGGGTTCTTGATTTTCCACATGTAACATCACTACACTGACAGTCTCCCTTTTATATTTTCTGGGACTCCTGAAAACATTGGGCCCACCCAGATGATCCAGAATCCTCTGTGTTTTAAAATCAATTCATTAACAACTTATACCTGCCCTATCCCCTCACGGCAGGGCAAGATGGGTCTTTGATTAAATGATCAAAGCGATGAGGATATCCTGAAGACACCTTTAAAATTCCCTCTATCTCAAGAATTACATGTCTATGTAAGATCTTAGATCCCAGAATCTTAACATCTGCTGTCATCATCACTCCCTAAGCCAGCACTGAGACATGCTACCTTTATCCACATGCCCCCCCCTTTTTCTCACTCCTGTGTTTCATCCACTTAGAGAAGGAACTTGGCTGCAGCTGTGGATGGAGAGAAATGCCATAGTGACGATGACTATGAAGACCCTGAGCTCCAGCTGCTAAAGGCATGGCCGTCGATGAAAATTTTACCAGCCAGACCTATACAGGAATCAGAATATGCAGGTACCTGGGAGTCTGAAGAAGCATACCCATGTGCATCACTGCATAGTGATTACAGGCTCATACTCCAGAACTCAGATTTTTGTCTGAATACAGGCTTCCCAGAAAAACTAGCCCCAGACAGTTCCTCTGAAGTTATATGAGATATGGAGTCAAATTCTGTTGTCACTTACTGTCATTGTCAGGGCAAGGTCTGCTTGAGCCTTAGGCCTGTCCCCACAGTGGGAGCATGGGAGAAGTAGCCAGGCACGTGAGACATGTGAGGTTTGTCTGCATAGTGGGGGAGAGCAGAGATAGGAAGTTGATTTGCTCTGCAGGCTGCCAGACTACGAATGGACCCAGTAGTAACATCCCACTCATCAGAAGGGAAGGAGGCTGGCTTTGTGCACACCCTACCTTTTTCCATATAGGGCAGTGTCCATAGGTTCTCTGTGCCACTATCAAGGGAAGAAGGAAGCACACCTGATTTCTGAGGGCCTGGATCACAGACATGAACCTGTAGAAATTTCTTTAGGGAGAATTGTCTTATAAGTAGTGAACAAGTAAGATGACACACATCGTTTACACCCCTGCACTTCAGGGGCTGAGGCAGGATTCCAAGTTCAAGGCCTACTTGAGCTGCATGGTGAGACCTTGACTCCAAACAACAACAAAAATAATGGTAATTATTGCCTTGTATTCAGTACTCAAAAGCATTGAGTGAGTATCTACACTGTGCTGTCATTGTTCTAGAATATATCAAGTGATATATAAATAACAGGAAAATGCGATACAAGCATACCAGAGGAAAGAGGTGGATGGCATTGGGTGGCAGCCTCCAGGGGCTCATGTCTGTAGTTGCACCCAAGATCCTAAAGCAAAAGAATGGCCACAGTGAGTTTCAGGCCAGCCTGAGCCATGGTGTGAGACCCTGTTGGAAACAAAACTAATAAATAAATAAACATATAAACAGAAAGGAAAAAATAAAGTATGTGGCATAGCACAAATCTTCAAGAACTGGTAGTATTTCTCAGGTGGATAAAAAATGAAGGGTAGTCAAGGCCATCATCCTTGGAAGGATTGCTGTGAACCAAAACAAGGAGGTCCACTTTAATTTCCTCCTCTCACAGATGCAGGCAGGATTGCTTGCCTCTTTGAGAGTGTTTTTGTTCATTTTTGTTTTTTCTTTCACAATGATCTCTCTAGCCACTCTATACACTAGAGAGTGTTTTCTTTCCACAATAATCCCCTTGGGTCACTGTCCACTCTTACTCTTTTTCTCCCTCAGGTTTTTTGAGAAGGGTTTCTCTGTGTAACAGCCCTAGATATCCTGGAACTAGCTCTGTAGATGTTGGCCTCAATCTCACAGAGATCCACCTGCCTCTGCCGACCAAGTGCTGGGATTAAAGGCGTGCGCCACCACTGCCCAGCCTACCCTTACTCTTATGAGTGCCATGTGATATGCTGTAATAAACTTTGCCTGTCTTCCTGAACTCTGCCCCCCAAAAAGGAATTGCTTACCTAGTACCTGCTCTGGGATGATTCCATGAGTGTGAGCATGTATGAATACCCCATAAACTGCAATGTGCCCAGTCTAGCCAGCTCATGAGGCACAAGCTTACCAGCTTCCTTTTTCCACAGATACTCGCTATTTCAAGGATCTGATGGAGGTGCCCCTTCTGTTACCTCCCAAGGCTTCTGGCCCCACTGGGAAGCAAACTCGGAATGTAGGGATGAGGCGACAGGAAGAAGTGAGTAAAAGGGGACCCTGAGGACCTGGCCTAGCTCACAGAGATCTCCCCCAGATCTCCCTCCACAAGGCATCATGACAGATGACAAATAGGGCAGGGCAAGCTTGGGGGAGCTGAATAGTGTGACTTATGAAATCATGGGCCTTTGGAGGAATCTAGAAGGAAATAAAAGTGACAGTTGCTGAAGACTGACAGTGAGTCAGCCATCAGGCTACAGAATTTCCATCTTCTCCAATTATCATTGCACTCATTAGATCCTGAGTTAGAACATGAATCTTTTTTATAATAACACATCATTTTGCCAAGATTCTTTGTGTGTGTGTGTGTGTGTGTGTGTGTGTGTGTGTGTGGGTGTGGTTTTTCAAGGCAGAGTTTCTCTGTGTAGCTTTGGAGCCTATCCTGGCACTCGCTGTGGAGACCAGGCTGGCCTCGAACTCACAGAGATCCACCTGCCTCTGCCTCCTGAGTGCTGGGATTAAAGGCGTGTGCCACCAATGCCCGGCTTTTGCCAAGATTCTTAGCCCAGCATTGTCAACTGTTAAACTGGGCATTGAGAAGTCTCATGCCCTTTTGAACCTCTGTAATCCCTGTACAAACCAGATTGGAATTCTACATGCTAATTTAAAAGGTCATCTAGAGGAACAGCAGATAACTTTATGGAAATAAATTTGTGGAAATTAAATGAAAATGCACTAGTTACACATGCAGGTTTTTATTTTTAATAAACATGTATAATGATCAATACTCTTAATATAGATGTCCATAAAAATAAAGACTCACCCCGGGTCTGCATGTCACTGGTGATAATATTCTGATACATTCCAGGCCAGTATTCCCTATAGAGACAGAATCATACGAGGGATCCTTGTCACATTAACATGCTCCTGTCTTTTCACACTGAGTCCAGTCACAAAATAAGTTGCACTGAGTTGAGCAAGGGCTTATCAGCATAAACTCTACAGCTATGCAGTTCCCTGTAGGGAGACACAGTAACCTCACCTCCTAAGGGCTGGCTACAGGAGTACCTACCACACCCATCAGGGTGTGGTCAAGGTGATGTCACAGTGACATGGAAAAAGGTTTAAAGGGATAGCCAAGGCACATGGTAGCTCTCTCTTCTCTGCTGCTTTGGCTCGCTCTGGTTTCCTGTCCGTTGGCATTTACCTATTAAAGATATCCTGACCTTACAGGCTACATATTAGTTATTCACCGTAATAGTTGTACAATTTTGATTAATGTACTCAGCACATGTAAAATCATGTCAATGTGTGCCCATCCAGAAGCTCTACAAAACCTTGTTCAATTCAAGGAAGTCTCAACAGAACTGGATTTTACTGGTGTGGGAATGAAAGGGGATGGCACTGTTAGAGTCTCTTTCCCTGACACCATTCACTGGTGAAGTGGAACAATCTCTTTCATGTTCCATCAACTCTCCTGGGTGAGATGTCCACCCTGCTCCTTAGACTCACAGCTTCTCTTGATATTGAGCACCCATCAGCCTATCTTGTGCCGACATGACAGATTATCTGTGGGAAACAGTAGTTTATAATGAGACAAATTTATCTTCCATACTTCTGGAGTCTGGATGCCCAAGATGCAGGGGCCAAAATCAGCACAGTTTCTCTTTCTGTCTCATTATGTGGTAGAAGGGCAAAAGACAAGGGGAAGGGGGGAAGGAAAGGCAAGAAAAGGGAGCCAAAGTGAACCTTTTATGACATCCACTTGAGTTATAAAAGACCCCTGTTCAGGCCAGGCTTGGTGCTGCATGCCTTTAACCCCAGAAAAGCCCTGTTCCAACTACAAGAAACAGAAGGCACTTAGAAGATCTGAGATCTCCTTCCTCAAACTCCATGACATGGCTGTACACAAATGCCCTCATTTGGAAAATATGTTTCCTAGGGGAAAATAACCTCATTTGGCTTTTTAAAAGCTATGGCAAGCTAGATACTGCATCACACTCCTGAATGCCAACAGTTGGGAGGTAGGAAGAGGAGGTTATCCTGGATTGTATGACAAGTTTGAGGCTAGCCCAAGTTACATAAGTTCCTGTCTCAAAACCCAACCTTGGCAAGATCCTGTCTTACAGTCCACACCTCTGCATTGCCTCAGTTTCTTCTTTCTAATAGATCACTTCAAAAACAAAACCTCGAATGCATCACTGTAAATCAACTGAGATGAGTGAGGGGACAGACAAGGACAAATGGTTGCCAGGAGAGAAATTTCCTTATAAATTAGGCAGGGTCTTAGTAGTCTCAGTTCAGACAATTTTACTTTAGTCTTCAGTGATGTAGTAAGGAAGATTTCATGGCAAGTAGATTATCTTTCTCATTAACAACTTTGTTTCCAAAAGCTTTTCTTTTTTTCCCCCAAAAGGCTATTTCTTACTAGTTTTGAGATTAAACTATCTGTGGACTAGATCTTCAATAACCCTTACAGAGGCCCTTTCTTATCTCAGTTCCTCTGGACGTTTGCAGCTATCTTGCCCTAAACTAGTGTTCTACTCAGTGAGCACTTACTGTGCAGCAAGCACTGTGCTCAGCAATGGAAACACAGACATGAGTCAGTGCCCAAAATCTAAGAGAGGAGGCCGTGACCCGAGATGGTGGTCTTGATGTCTGAGAGAAGTGTGAGAAACAGTTGTTCATCCATACAACATACTGCATTGTAATTGGTGGTTCTCAACAGGAAGATTTTAGCCCCTCCCCCCACCAGGACCTTTGGCACAGACTGGAGACATTTTTAGTTGTTACAGTGGGAAAGTAGATATTGCCAAGCACTGTACAAGGGAAAACACACCACACAACACACATACACACACACACACACACACACACACACACACCAACACATAATAACATATACACACCATACCACATCACACCCACACACATACACACACACACACACACACACACACATCAACATACTGTATCACACACATGCTCACAAATCATACATATACACACATACCACACACAATAAACACTCTGCACACACACCAAAACATCATAACACACACATTAATACAACATATCACATCACACACAGAGATACCAACATAGTGTATCACACACACACAATCATCAGAAGTCACTGACACCTCACATACAAAGGCTTCTCTATGTATAAAAAGCAGAATGTGTCTGCCTAGGGGAAAAGAGCAGGGACATTAAGGAAGCCCCATCCTGAAACCCTAAGCATGCGGGAGCCATGTACAGTGAAGAGAGCCTCCCCTGCTGCTCTAACCAAGCAGACACTGGGGTATAGGCAAGAGTGGTGAGTGGCTGACTCACAGGAAGACTGAACTTTCAAAAGCCCTCCAGCAGCTGCTCCTCCAAGAAAGCAACTGGAAACTCCTGACTCTGTGAAAGAATGCAGGGCTGCAGAAAAACCCTACCAGCACTCTATCGCAATCAGGCTAAAGTGCAGAATAGCAGCTGTGGCCTTCCCAAGGCCTGAGGTTCAAAGTTCATGGAAGAGATTCAGACCCCCTCAGGAACCTTGCCCAGCACCATCAGCACTAGATAAGATAAACACTAAGGTCCAGTGATAGCTGTACAGAAAGGCCTTCCAAGGCCTTGGCACTTCATCATCCCTCATGTCTTCTAATCCATTATCATTAATAGTCACTACACCCCAGTGATGGCATTATTGTTGTTCTGTGTCATAGTGATGCCTCACATACTGGGTGCATTACCCATTGTGTCTCACATTATCATATTCGCGAGCGTGCGCACGCGCGCGCGCGCGCGCACACACACACACACACCATCCTCACAATGATGCAGGAATTTTTTAAACTCCATTCTATAGAAAGAAAACAATGGAGTTGAGTAAGTCACCATGCCCTCACAACTGGCATGTGATAGACACAAGGTGATATCACCTGAGCTGTCATTAAAGGTCACACACTGTGGCTGATGAATTGCTTCCACACCCCTGGCCATGTACACTGGTCTCCATTTTGATACAGTGGCATACACTGACTCTTTTTTCTGTCATAAAGATGTAAAGTGACACCATAAAGGCCCTAGATGTCCTTCCCAAGCTTTTGTGACAAAAAGGTAAAGTAGGATTTCAAACTTGAGATTTTATGCCAAATAACACCCAGGTCACCACAGCCTTCTCTGGTGGCAATCCACATATTTACAGATATTCAGCCAATGCCAACTACATGCATACAGCAGCCTCTAAGAACAGCAGGCCCAGGGATGTATGCACTTATGCTGGGGACTATAGCCATATGGAGTAGCCAGGCACGTGGTTATGGCATGATCGCTGTGAGCTGATGGTGTTGCATTGTCTCTTACAGGTCTTTTATAGGGACAAGCCCATCTCTAAGGATGTCAGAAGCCAACACTATCAAGGTAAAGTCCCAAGAGTTTAAAATCCCATGGAGTATCTCCCCTGTTCCCATGGTCCTTTGCTCTGCTTGTGGTCACAGGCCCCCATACAAGCTCTGCTGAATGATACTCTGAGAAATGACAGTCCCATTCTGTTGTCACACAGACCTCCCAACTCTTTTACAGTCTTACCTTATTGGCAAAGAAATTGATTGTGAAAACTCATATTCTGTCCTACATCATCTGAGAAAGGTGTTGTTTCAAAACATATGGATTGCATTCAAATAAGTCATTTCTATAAGCACATGCCCTGGAAAAGAAAATCACAAGAGAGGAATCTAATTTTAAAATGTTGATTAATGAATATGAAAATGGGCTTTAGAGCTTGAGGCAAAACAACTCAATTTGAAGACAGAAGCACAGGTACAAGCCTGAGAGGAAGTAATCAATTCCATAGATGCTAGAAGCACAAACTAAGGGCAGCTGGAGAAATGCAGTTGGATTGTATCTATTATGGGTCTCATCATTTTCCTGTCTCATCATTTTCCCCTGGCCCCATTGCCACTTATGATGTCCAGTGGAAAGATGCCAGTCCTGTGATTTACAGACCCCAATAACTGAAGCCCACCAATGTCACTATTTGTACGCTTAATGCTGAATCCCAAACTGTCTTTAATAAGGAAGTGTAGAACTACAGGTCCCAATAGGAGATTATAATGAGCACAAAGTAAGGTAATTTAAGAAAGTTTACTTATAGAGGAACTATTTACAGAGGTGTGCCGGGCATAGGGAAAGAGCCAAGAATCCTGGTGTAGATCCAGGGCTGACATGATCAGGGGCTGGAGGATCCCCACCCTAGGCCCAGAGAGATGGAGAGGAACTACTGAAAGCCACAGGGGCAAAGCTGTGGTGGGGAGACCTCCTCGGGAGGGAGTTGTGTTAGTGTCTCATTCCTATAACAAAAAATCTCTGAGAAAGAACTTCAAAGGAGCAGAAGTCGCTTTTGCTCACAGTTTCAGAGATCTTGAGCCATACATAGCTGGGTGACTCCTGCTTTGGAGCAGGGGTGAGACAGAGCATCCAGTGGACAGAGTATGTTAGAGAAAAATCTCATGATCTGAGGATGGCTTGGGAAGCAAGGAGAAAAGAATGGACCAGAGTACCAATATACCCTACAAAGGCAGGCCCTTAATGATCTAACTTCCTCCCCTAACTCCTCTCTCCTTCCCAGGGTTCCCAGAACTCCCCAATAGTGTTACAGGCTAACAAAAGACTACCCATAAGCATTTGGTGGACATTTAACATAGAAAGGATATAAACCATGATGGGAATGATTTTTTTCATCAGATTGAGCAGTTACAGTTTCATATAAATGTATGTCTCCTGTCATTTTTCCTCCAATCATTACCTGGAAAGCATCAAATTTCTAGACCTTATCTTCCCTGAAGGTGGAGAGGGTTTTTTTGTTTTGTTTTGTTTTGTTTTGTTTTGTTTTTCCACTCCTGGGAATGGCCAAAAGTTTTATTTGGAGGTAAAACAGTTACTGTACAAACTGTGTGTGATGAACCACCAACAATAAGCACAGATCCAGAGGACACCTCATTCCAAGAAGAGCTGTAACTTTCCAATAGACACAGCTTAGCTTCCTGGGAGAGGCAAAGCTGAGAACACCAGCAGCTCAAATGTACATCTCTTCGCCTGGGATGCAAACTAAGCTCAAACTCTAAACCAATTTTCTTTGAAGTGACACGAATACTCTACTCAGGAATCACTTTATAAAGACATACAATAAACCATCCAAGAAAAAGAATTACACTCAGGCGGCTGAACGAGTAAATCCAGAAATACAAGCATGGCTGGTTGAAAGCAACAAACCAGATTCTACTCGGTACCTCCAGAGGGATCATGTGAATTCAGATACTGAAGAAATCAGAGGTCACTTTGGAGTTAATCTGGCTCAAGGCCCTGGTGGCCTGTGCTGAGGTGCAGGTCGGGGTCAGCCAGTAAGTAATCATAGCACGCAGTGTTCACCAGACGCAGATGTTCTCTGGGTCTAAGGACATTGGCCAGTGTTGGCAGTCAGGCTCCTGTTCTGAAAGCCAAACTGTTCAGTCCAAGGGGAGAACAGGTGGGTGATACTTCCCCCTAGCAGCTGCAGGTGGCAACACAGGACACGGTGGAACTGCATGCACATGCTTAAAAATAATAAACCTTAGCTCTCAGATGGGTAAGAGAGAAATGAAAGACTGACTCATGTTTGTATTGGATTTAAATTTATTTCAGATATAATCTGCGGTCCAAAACCAACACAGGTATTGGTTCCATGCTGGATTCAAAACCGATGCTTTAAAGTAACCCTCACTCTTTAAAGGGGCTTTAAGAGATCTTAAGCTAGCAAATAAATGGTTTTAGTTATGGCACTTTCACACACATGGGTCACTATAGTTGGTTCTAATTATTCCCCTTCTCCAAGCCCCTTTCCTCCTAATCCAGGCAGAGAATGGATTTCTGAAAGAGAGGGAGCGTCCACATTGATGACACCAGCTGTGCCAGGAGGGCTCTACTTCCAAACTCACTGTGTGCCAAGTTTCTGCATGCCACAGAGCCATACAAGACCAGTGGAGTCCAGTGTGTTGAGTTCTGTACTAGGAGTTGAAGTAACTAAGAAAATCACACTAATTCCCACTGGGAGAAGCCATGTGTCTCCCAGGAAAGACTCAGGAGCAAGTGGCATGGAACTGGGATGTGGGACAATGAACTTGGGGAAGGAAATCCGCATTTTTGATGCCTAGAATCCACAGTGTGGCTAGCTATACAGTGGCTGTTGGGACAGATGGTCCTGCATTCAAATTCTGACTGTACTCCTCTCCTCTAGAAGACCTAAAAGTAACTCGGGAACCAACAATACTACATGACAAGGCATTTGAGGAAGGCTTCAGAGGAAACAACCAATGGGAAAGCCACATCACAGTGATGATGAGGACCCTCGGTGCTGATCTGCACTAGCCATCCTGATCCCTGACTCCTTATTCCATTCCCTGACTCCTTCTTCAGGCTAAAACCATCTCCTATCTAGCTAGTTTGGTTTTTAGCAGGCAAGTAGATCTGTTGTGGATGAATTGATGAAAAAGTGAGTCAGAGTCCTCAGTCACAGAGAACACAGTTCATGACTTATCATTTCCCCACAGCAAACATGTGACACAATGCTGGACATGTGGAAAATATTTGTGGGATTCCTTCTATGACTTAGCCCATGATAACAGTGTATAGATAAACATCATCACCCTGACTAGTGTCACAGAACCACCCAGGGATGATCCAGTACCTCATAGTCTCATTAGGTGGGGACCAGCAAAGTGGCAACTCAAGAGGCTCTGGTAACTTCCTGCCCCATTTCTGTCTGTGCTTTCAAATTCAGCTGCACCTTGCTCCTTCACTGGAACCTCACATCTCAGCTGTGGAAACAGAAGTACCTGTTCTCTAGCATTTTGTGAATCCACAACACCACTGCCTGGTTTTTGTCCATCACTTTACCCTGCCTGCCCACTCTTCATCCAAGACAGCAGGAAATACCTCCCTCCAGGGTTGGGCTGGAAGAATTGTTCCATCCCACCTTCTTCACTGGTCCCAATGTGAAAGCTATTGAAACATGCATTCCTAAACGTGGTACCTTCTGATTTTATCCAAGGGAATGTAAGGGCCAGTAGGTCCCTGCAACACCCTTGGCTTTGCCTAACATGATCCCTTCCCACTGCTTCCCCAAGGATGGCTTCAGCAATTTATTACTGCAATTAATTTCTGAAGGTTATGATGGACTTGAAGATGCTTTTCCAGCAGGTCCTGCCAAGTGGACATTACTAGCCACTGGGATTATTTAAGACGCTTTTCTGGACTCCTCTGTAATTAATCATCAAGACACAAAATGTCAATGGTCATAACAGTCTTAGACACAATAAATCTTGTAACTGGATCCAAGTTTTATCTAATTTTCTTCAAAGCCCATTTCTGTAATTATAGAACATCACATGGATGCTCTATTTCTGGGAATGTTTGCATGCATACACTTCAGGAGTAACTAGTACAGCTTGCACTCAGCACAAATAGAATGGAAGCTTACATCAGTGGTTGTCAACCTCCTAATGATTCTACCCTTTAATACAGTTCCTAATGTTGTGGTGACTCCCAACCATAAAGTTATTTCATTGCTACTTCATAACTGTAATTGTGCTACTGTTATGAATTGTAATATAAATATCTGATATGCAGATTATGAAACATGTGGCCCCTGTGAATGGGTTGTTAAACCCCAAAAGGATCAAGACCTTTGATTGATTGAAAACCACTGGCTTAAGTGAAAACTAAATAATATTTTATTTATTCTTAAATTTTAAGTCACCAAGTCCAGTAAGTTACAGGCTTACACTCAACTCATGTGACTTCACAAGTCCCATCTGTGGCCACTTGGCTTTGTGTCTTCTATTAAGAGATAAAGTCTCGGCTCCTATGAGTCTTGTTTTCTCATTTTTTTAAAAAATCACAGATAAGTATAGAAGAAGCCCAGAGAGGCCAATCAATTTGTGTCAAGTTGCTCAGCTCCTTGATAATAACAGCAAAACTCAATCACAAACCTTGGCAAATGCCAAACAGTCAGGTATCCGAAGGAGAAAATTCAAACACATATGCAAATGAGGTCACTATATGTGTTACTGAAGGATATATAGCATACACTTGTAAAGTAACAGTGAGAGATAAAATATCCCTTATCCCAAATTCACAGGGCCAGTTGTTTTTTTGTTTCATTGTTTTAAAGGACTTATGTAGCCCAGAGGCCCGTGCACTCATTCTTCAACCCTAGCTGGCCTTGAACTTAAGGTCCTCCTGCCTCCATTTCCTGAGTGCTGGAATTACAGGCATGTACTACCACACCCAGATCTGACTGGCTTTTGCCAATCTCTTGCATCCACAGCTAAATCACAGCTCCCAGGGTATAACGACGTGGGACATTTCTTAGTTAAGCTGAAAATTTCTAGACATCTGTTTCCTTAGGCACACTCCTCAGAACACAATGCCTACAAGCATTATACAACTATAAGTAGGGCATGCTCAATTAACACTTTCTATAAAACTTCCTTAAGTTCGGACAAATGGCAAACAATAAGTCCTCTGATTCTGCAACATTTCCCTTCAAGGAAATACTTCCAGAATGCCAGTCTTCAAGTACAAAAGAGCATGGAATTGGAAGAGATGTCATTTCATAGCATGGGAAATAACCTCAATGGGACTTGTAAAGCACACTCACAGGAAGCGATGTCTTGGTGTTCCTTATCTTTGTTTTGATATGACTTAACTGTACCATTCTAAGAGCTATTTTTAACAATGTCTATATTTAACAGCCAGCTTACAAAATCCTTGCCCATTTAACAACCAGGTCTTACAGTGTAGTCCAAGCCACTCCTGCACATCTCAAATAGACCTCTAAAGCCTCCCACCCCCACCCCCACCCCACCCTAAGAAGCAGGGATTCAACTTCACAAAATGTTGTGTGTGTCGTTAGATTCTTCAGGGTTTGACCCTAAAATAGTCCAGTACGGGTCCAATAGCATCCACATCTGTGGTCTGCTCTCTTCCTAATCACCTCACCAGAAACAAGACCCCCCAGCTAGTGATGGGAGACCTAAACACTGAAAAGGGCAGGACCAGTCTCTTGGCAGATAATGCTGGTTACAGCACTGGCCACCAGAGGGCAGACATGTGAGTCACCGCCCAGTGAAAAGCCTGGGCTTGAAGGGGAAAATCCTCTAGGTAGTCCTCTGGTTTGACTGACAGGAAACTCTTCCCCAGCATTGGAGAACATCCTTGGGCTTTGTCAGGAGGGTAACCAAACATTCCCTCTCCAATCTCCCATTGCACAGTAGAAACCAAGTGTGCATTAGAAACTATGCCTCCATGTTTTTATTAAATAATAATTTTTAAAAACAGGAAACATGCCTTGACATGCTCAACTTCATTTATCTCACATATACATGCTGGGGAAGTACAAGAAATCACCCATTACTCAGTCCAGGAGTTTGTTTCATTACTACTGACAGAGCCTACAGTGAGTAACAGGAGTCAAGGCCAGGCTGGAGGTGTGGTTAGGTAAGTAGAATGCTGGCTTAGCATGACCTAAGGTCCTCAGCTTGATCTGTGCCCTGCTAAAAACAAATTTTAAAGGTCAGTCTGAAAAAAAAATCCACTCTAAATCTTATCTTTTGTCATTATTGCAAATACCTGACCTGTTAGCTCTATATTAAACAACCTCCCCACCCCCCATGAAAAACAAAGAATTTTGCTGGATTTTAGCCACAAAAGCTGACAGCTATGTGATGAGTTACTTCACTTATGTGGTCCTGTTTGCTTACCCTTAAGGTCACCCAGACCACTTACCTTGTGAAATGTTGATATCTAAACCAGTAGTGTGGAGAGGCCCCTGGCATGGATGGTTTGTCAGCATACATGCCTGCTCTGGGTGACAGAGTGTAAGGGTGTCCAGGCCTTTTGTTTCTATGCCACATAGGGCAAAGACAATATCACTGTCTAGAGCTGCACAGGAGCCCTGTGTTCAACCTGAAGCTCATGGCTTGTGAGCACAAACTTACATTTACATTGCATAACACTGCAACACAACAAGCTATCCAGAACCACAAGCCACCCAAGGCCACAAATTGGATATATGTGGTTTGTTGCTATTGTTGATAGAATTACTACTAAAATTTTAAGGGAGGGGAGAGAATACTAAACAATGCTGGAGAAAGTCCAGCATTTTAATAGAGAAACAGGATACACACACCAGGTGTCAGAAAGATGCAAGCATGAACACCCCATCCAAAGTGGCATCACAAGGTGTGGGGCAGTGCCCACTGCCGGTGAGAAGCCAAGCTGGCACAATCATGTGGGAAAACTATAATATTTCCTCTAGAATGTAAAATTAGAACAGCCTGTGACTCAGGAACCCCACTTGTAGTATCCACCAAGGGCACTGAAATTAGGATCTTGAAGAGCTGTCTCCCCTCCAAGTCCCTGAAGCATTGTTCACAAAGCAAACCATGAGAGAAATCTGTCTGTACACAGCAGCCTTGGTGAAGAAATGGTATACATATATAGAATGGATTTTATTCAACCCCACAAGAAGGAAAGCCTACCATTTATGACCATGGGGATAAGCTTGGAAGACATTATGCTGGGTGAAACAAGACACACTCAGATGAAACTCTGCATGCTGTCACTTTGATGGTCTGAAACAACGAAACTCATGGTATCAGGAAGTGCAAGGTGGTTTTCAGGAGCAATGGGATGGATAGTGAAAGGATGATGTTCTGGAGTCCTTGAGAGTCATGGCACTCACAGTGACATCTGCTTCCTATGATTTTCTAGCTTGTGGGATATTGAATTTCCCTACATCTCAGACTTTTCCTTTCCATTAGCAAGGGTGAGAATGTAATAAGATCCCCAAACTAAAGTGTTCAGCATTATGCTGGGCAACTGGTGAGATCCCAGTAAGTATCATTAAGCAATGTCATCAATCTTATTACATATAAGTGTAATAAGTGGCTTCCATAGAAGCATATGTAAGAGTATTTGATGGTATTTTCTACGGGGTTCACTGTTTTTTCCATCTTATATTTTAGGAGCCAGGTACTCAGAGGTGAACAAGGTAAGTGAAAAAAATATCAAAATGTACTTGCTACACTATAAAGGCACAGACATGTGGGCACTGGGAAATGCAGCTTAAATGTCACTTGAGCAGTATGCCCTGGGGCTTCAGCCATTGTTTTTTTCATTTCCATTTGTAGAACAAAAACATTCTTAACCACTGGCCCTGCCCAACAACAATGGATTTAACTCCCTGTTCTCTTTCCTTTTGCAGATTCCTGTACCGCCGCCTCGGTAAGACATTTAAAATCACATTTATGGGACTGGAATGATGCTTCAGACATTAAGAGAACTGGCTGCTCTTGCAGAGGAACCAGGTTCGATTTCCAACACCCACATGGTGGCTCACAACCACCTGTAACTCCAGTTCCAGGGGATCTGATGCCTCCGTCGGCACTGCATACACACGATGCACAGACAACACACAGTCAAAACACTTGTACATATTAAGTATTTTTAATGTAAATTTCTTGCCATAAACATAAATGATTTGTGCCAGTTCCTGCAAAAGAGAAGCACAAACATTTGGCCTTGGAGAAGCTGGACTGTGAACAACATCCAGGAGCCTCCATTCATTCACATCATTAGACATCCTGTCTGCTGTCAGCACACCTCCTCCATTTATCTTTCTTTCTTAGCATTGATGTTTGAAACAAGTCAGTTCCGTTTTTTACATTTGCTTATTTGTGGTGGGCAGTGTGAACATGGGGAGGTCAGAGGACAACGTATGGGAGTTGACTGTCTATTTCCACCCTGTGGGTCCTGGGAATCAAACATAGGTCTTCTGTGACTACAAGTACCTTTACCGGCTAAGCCATCTTACCAGCCCAAGATCAAGCTGGCCAAGTATGCATGTAGCAGGCAGACAATGTTAAACAACCTAATAATAGCCCAAACCTTCTGATTACTCTGAAGTTATCATTTGGGGGATGAAGTCCATCCCCCAAATCCATTTCTAGCAAGTGTCTCTACACTTGCTGTTCTTTCTTCCCAGAATCTTGCTCCGTAAATACCAACATTGCATGCTCTTTTCTTTAGGGAAAAATCAGACAGAACATGTTGTAGACACATCTAGCTGCCCACACTCACAAGATCAAGAGAGATCCAACATATAAATCAACCAGAAATTTGAATTTTTATAAATAAATTGACTCAATTTAATTTAAGGACTTACAATATGCTCACATCAGTCCATATGCTTATATATCACATATATTAATGTTGATTATTGCTCTATTCATACACACACAGAGGTGAGAGCTGCAGACTGGGCCACTGGGGCTCTGAGTGGGTTAGTGAATGCCTTTGCTCTTCTTGGGTCAATGTGTCCCTCAGCCAAGCATGTCAATCACTTTGCCCCTCACTCTTTCCTTGCATGGAGCAGGGCTTTCTAAGCCAACGACTATATCTATTTTGTTTTCTTTTGCATCCCTAGTAGACACAAAACCACATAATACACTTTGTGAATGAGCACAAAAATGGCTGGAGAGAATGGGTGAAACAGGCTCTTATTGACTTGCAAACATTTTCATGATTCTTGGGGTGTTTTTGAAACTCGGGTCATCTAATGTAGAATAAGCAAGAGGTAATTATTCTCTTTCCTCTAGGCCTCCTATAGTCCATATGGGTGGCATATTGAAAAGCATATAACACTTGTAGGAAATTGTTGAACACACTACGGAATGCCAAGCATCAGAACATTATTACTCTGGAAGAGAGAGGATGCTAAGACTTGAAGATGCCCAGATGATCCATAAAGCATTCTTCACACTTGAGCTTCAAACCCATAGCAGAGGAGGGTAGGAGCAGGCCAGAGTGAACTCACTGTCTGAGAAAGGCATGGCTACAAACCTGCTCAACCCTTAACCATGTGACTCTTCCCACAGGCCTGTCATCACCCTCCCCAAAAAGTATCAGCCCTTACCTCCAGCACCACCAGAGATCAGTGCACACTTCCCTCTGAGACATGCCTTTCCAGAAGTCCAGAGGGGGCTCAGGTAAGACACTTGTCACTGTTGTGGTAAAATGATCAATAGAAGTGGTAGCTATCGGGGAAGAAATGAGAGATGAGCGAAACCAAACAGATCCCCTCTCTGAATTCCACACCACTGTGGGGGGTCAAGGGAGGGCAGGGGGAACTATACCTAGAGGGAAAAAATAGACTTAGAAACATGTGTTTGACTCTTCACAGAAAACACAGATGTGTGCAAAAAGATAAGTCACTGACAGAACTGTTCTCTTAAGACCTGAACTGGTCATCTCAGAAAATAGGAAATGCCAGGAGGAAAGCAGGACTCTGAAAAAAAGCAGGATAGGGGGTCTAGAAAACTCCAGGACATTCCCCTTGCCAACTTCCAGACACATAGCCCAGAGGACATACTCAAGCTTAAACAACCTTCTGCCAAAAACAGATTTGTCAGCCTTCCACCAGCAAGGGGAGTATAGCAGCTGATGCTAATCACAAATGTGTAGGGAATGTTCTTTCAAGATAATGGATTTCCAAAATCGCTGATTTTGGAAGGGGGGATGGAGTGTGCCTCCCCCTTCTTCTGGGTCAGGATAATTGAGGATTTCTCATAGAAATCTTGGGTGAGCAGACCGCTGATGCAGGGGCATAACTAGGTATGATGGTGCCTTGGGAATACTAAAATTCAAGTACATTTTGAGATACTGTGAAAAACAGTCCTGTATCTGGTTCTGATATCGATAATAGATGACTACAATTCTGATTCTCCCCCTTATCCTCAACTGTCCCCTTGTCTTTTTCTTTTTTTTTTTCTTTAGAGACCCCTACAAACACCTCAGAGATGCACCTTCTCTTTCTGGACAGTCCTCTCCATCTATCCTTGTGTCCCTTAGCCTAGCCCCTGGGAAAGAACATAGACCTGAACTGTAACTCCCAAATCCATGGTAGAGATTCTGCTTCTGATGACCTGGCACTGTTTTGTATAAGCTTGGGGAGTGAGAGTCTGGCTGGAGGAAGTGGGGTGCTGGCATGCAGGCATTGAAGGTTACAAGTTTCAGCAGCTATTCTCAACTGTAGGTGACTTTATCCTTGCCCTGGATGAGGACAGTCTGTGATATCTGGAGAAACTTGGAGTTGGGATCACTTGGAAGAGAGGCAGGGAAACTGATAGCAGAGCCCATCACAAATGGCAATGGATCATGCCTTAGTATGTCCAGGAACATACTTTGTAGACCTTCCCTAAGGCCAAGGATAGATAATAGAAGAGTGCTATGTTGCCTCCCACATACCCCACGGGCTAATGTGAGAATTGGCTCCCAAGAAGTGTTCAATAGCACAGATTAAAGTTATGGGTGTGAGTCCCAACATGGAATAGATTTTAGTTTAATTTGTCTGACCTTGGCCTTCTCTCTTCCTATTGTATACCAAGATTCTAGCCAGGCTCATCCACTCTTAAAGGAGAGATTAACCTGTTTCAGGGTCCACATTTCTTGGCACAGTGCCTGACATGGATAGTGTTGACTAAGTAATGAGTTTAGAAGTTGCAGCAGCTTCCAAAGACACCCATTATATTACTTTTCTGTTGCTGTGATGAAACATCAGGACCAAAAAGACTTTTTTTCAACTGTTTTATTTTTTGTGATTATAATATTATTATATCAGTTGTCATTTCCCCTTTCCCTTTCCTCCCTCCAAACCCTCTCATGTGTCACTGAATGATCTTTCAAATGCATGACTTATTTTTCTATTTCCAGATTTCCCTCAGTTTGTGTTTTCTTTATTGTCTCTATTTCAGTTTTCAGGTCTTGAACTGTTTCCTTCAGCTGTTTAATTGTATTTCCTTGGCTTTCCTTGATTTCTTGCATCTTTTGTCTTTTCTTCCATTTCCTTGAAGGATTTCCTCATTTCCTCTCTTAGGGTCCCTATCATCTGCATGAAGTTGTTTTTAAGGTTTCTCTCTTCTGCTTCATCTGTGTTGGGATGTTCAGGTCTTGCTGGTGTAGAGTCCCTAGACTCTGGTGGCATCATATTGGTTTCTCTGTTGTTGGATGTGTTCTTATATTGTCGTCTTCCCATCTCTTCTTCCAGTGGTGCAGGTGGTATCTCTTCCTTTCCTGGTGTGTATGGGTCCAAGGTTCTCTTCCAGTGGGTTCAAGAGGGTCTGATACTCTGATGGGTCTCAAGGTGGATGCAGGCAGGTCTGGGGCACTCACTGTCCAGGTGAGTGGGAACAGGACTAGCACAGAGATGTCAGCAGACTCAGGGTTGCTTGGTCCTCAGGGGCTGAGTGGACCTGCCTCGCATGACTTATTTTTATTAAGTGTTGTTACATTCATATGTGCATATGTATATAAAATATAACCTGCTGAGTCTGTATAACATTACTTGTATGTGCATTTTTCTGGGCTGACCATTTGGTTTTGGATAACCAATTGCTGTGATCTTCCCTGAGCAATGCTATTTCTCCCACTCTCAGAATTTCTTAGTTTCCTATAGTTCTTTAAGTATGGTTGAAGCCACATGACTGCCCCCTCCACTTTGTCATATCTATTGTTGTTCTTATTCAAATTATGCTTAGAAAGTCATGATGGTGGGACTTTATGGGTGTAACTTCTGATATTCCTAGGAAACACAATCTCACAGCAAACTCCCTGATTCTCTGGCTCTTAGTCTTTCTATCCCCTCTTCCTCAATGTTCCCTGAGCTTTACATGAGGGATATTTTTCTTTTTCTTTTTCTTTTTTTTTTTAATGTATTCACTGGGACTGGGCTCCACAACTCTGCATTGGTTATGATTTTCTGTAATGGTCTCTGTCTGTTGCAATGAAATGTTTCCTTGGTAAAGGGTGAGAACTATACATATTTGTGGGCATAAGGACAAATGTTTGGAATGCAATTAGGGATTATGCTGATTTAGTAAAAAGCAGTAGCAGGTTTTCCTCGAAAATCTATTACTACACTAGCCCTGGGTAGTTAACTAGGTTTCTAGTGTCAGATATGACATATCTGTTGTTTAGTGAGTCTTAAGTCCAATTATACAAGATATGTGCACCATCACTGCACCCTTAGGGTTATTATGTTTGGTGGTCATTGATGTGGCTCACAGGTATCATAGATGGGGAGGACCATTGGTTGTTTCCCTTTTGGAAGCTTGCATGGTGCCTTCTGATACCAAGAAAACTAGTCCTCAGAGACTAGTTCATATCAGTTCCAGCTTAAGAGCCTCTGGGCTCTGCATCTAAAGTGCGTGGTGTCTTCAGCAATAGGAAATTCCCTTCCACCTCTGAGGGCTAACCAAGGCAACAGCCTGTAATATTGTGGGAGCTTCTTGAACATCCCTGGCCAACAACGCAAAAGACAGTTTTCATACCTGGTGTTGGGGTTTTTATTAGATGGTTGTTGGCTCTTGGAGGGAGCATTGTCATCCCAGAATTTCATTTAAACTATATATGAATTTTTATATGCTGACTTGCATGCATTATAGGTATCTTGGGGTAGACAGTAGTAATCCTTATTACTTTTTCAGATGTCCTGACTGTTGTTTTACCTTTATCCCTCCTCCCTGCTCTTGTTCCCAATGTCTGGGATAGTGCCCTTGATTTCTACAGCTGGGCCTATCAGTCTCTGTGCTGAGGGGCATTGGTCACATTTTAACATATTGGATTACTTCATCAAGAGTTTCCTGGGGGCTATAGAGATGGATTAACAGTTAAGAGCTCATACCTAACAGCTTGCACTGTTTTTGTATGGGATCCAAGTTCTTTTCCCAGCTCTACATGGTGGCTCACAATCACCTGTAACTCCAGTTCCAGAGAACCTGATGTCATCTTCTGGCATCTGGGGGCTTCCTGCACTCATGTGATGCATGTAAATTCATGAGGCAAAATACTCATACATAAAAAATTTAATCATCTATTTTTTAAAAAGGAATATTCTGAGTGGAAAATTTAATGTTTCCAGTTCTGACATTGTCACTTTATTAGGTCCTGTGTTTATTCCTTGAATTTCTGGGGTCATTACTTCATCATTTCTAGATGTGATAAGAACTGGGCAAGATCTTTCCATCCAAATAGCGCCAAAGAACAATTACATGTGATCTCATTGGCTACTCCCAGCAGAGCTGAAAAGGACTGTTTTCCAAGGCTGAGGAGAACAGGTGCCCAGGCCAGCAGATGGCACAGAGTGTCAGTAAATGTTACATCAATGAATCACTGCGGTTCAGAAAGTAAACCAGGTGGGAGCCTTGATGAGTGCACACAGGCAAAGTCCCAGAGGAGACTGGGGACATGGCCATGAACCAGAGGATTTTACTACAGGAAAAGAGAAGTGCCCTCAAATTCAATTCCATTCAGGCCCTCATGAATAGCCAGACTGATGATTCAGGTCACAGTGAAGTTACTGCTGTGTAAACAGAGCCCTGAAGCTCTGAGCATCAGGGGGGACTACACAGAAGGCTGTGCCTCTCTTTCTAGAAGCTTCTCTGTAAGGCACTTGGGTAAGTTGCCCAAAAGCGGATGCTGTGAGTTCAGCTCCCAGGGTATAAATTGCAGGCCTCCACCATTCTCTTTGCTCACACTGGATGGTTGGTGTGGTCCCAGCTATTGTCTTTCAGGACCCATTTGTCTCTACCAGCTCTGCCACTTTCTCTTTACAGCTAAGTCTTGACTTCACAAACAAGGCTAGGTGGAAGCACTTCAGTGAAGGATGATGTCATGTAGGTCTCCTGTCAACAACCAAACACTAGAGGAGAATTTGGCATTGTGAAGGACAATGGCTGGATATTTTCAACAATTAATGCTACGAAACTGACGATATCCACACACATTTTTTTCTCAACTTGTTTTTTTCCAATTAAAATAATTTTTCTCAGAAGAGCGACTTATATCCCAACCATAAAAAACTACAACACAGCTTTTCAAACTAAAACTTTGAACCCCATGAAATTTCTTTTTGTTACAAAGATAGCACATGTTGAATAGGCATTTGGGACTTTGCAATCCATATAGGCAGTCCCTCCAGTTGACATAACCTTAAAGAAAACTCAAAGGGTAGTAACTTTATGGTATGGATTCTCTGATATTTTCATTCAGTTGTCCACACACAAAATAGCATCTTCCTGAGTATTAATCTACGTTTTTTGTGATCTAACTGCTCTGGGGATTGAACCAGGTCTTTGCACATGCCAAGAAAGCAACTGTGTGTCACCAGTCCCTTGTGGAGGCTTCTGTGTATATATTCAGACACACCATGTGGAAGCAGCATTACTGTGTCCCATAATACTGAAGGCACAGAAATACAGAGCTTGTTGTACCACCATGTGTCATTCAAGCTTCAGTGAACACAGTGACATAATTTAAATGAAGTAGCTCATATTTAGGACATGAAACGCTTAGGTGACTGGCTGGGGCTTTCCCTTTTTCCCCAACCACACTGGGATGACATCTGTTCAAGGAATCCAGTTCACCAAAAAGTATGCTATGATAATTTGGAAAGTAAAAGATATCTTTATGAATATCAAAAAAGCATGGCCCTTTTAAACAAAGTAAGTGTGGGTTTCAGAGATATACCAATTCATATTTATAAATGGAAACTAAAGACATAAAGGGGTAAATTGTTATTATCACCATCATTAATATTATATGTATTTTATTATATGTACATATTATGAATATTGTTGTAATATGTATTATTATTATAGCTTTATAATGGCATTGCCATCAGGAAAAACTAGGTGGAAAAGACTCAGCATCTCTCTGAATGTCAAACCACATTGGGCATCCTATATCGATCTCAGAATAGATTGAAATCAAATGTAACCATCACAGTGACCACAGACATGAAGCATTGTCTTAATCTAAACAGATTCATGTATTTTTTTTTCAGTAGAACTTTTAACAACCCTTTTTTTTACTGTCTAAATTTGGGGCTCAGAGGGGAAATTTAGTTTATCAAGGGTGGCAGAGCCTGTAGATGACACAGCAAGGATTCTAGTCCAACCCATTCAAAACTAAGGCAAAAACTAAACAATGCTAAAGAAAGTCCACGTTTGCAGAAAATAGCAGTATCTTTAAAGTTATACTAAGCACCTGTTAGATCAAAGGGACAAATGTTAGAACTTTCCCCATGTAGTTTGCAGCGATTTTTAATTGACCAGCTCTGGCAGCTAGAGCATGAGCAAGTATGTGTCCAGATACAGTGCACCACCTGCTCCACACAGAAAGGATTTAGAGAGAGTGCTGAAGTTCAGTTTGTTAACATGAAAGATTCCAAAGCTGACCCATCCTGGAGCCCCATTCAACTTGTGAGGTGCATCAGGGATTTACACACTGAGGGCTTTATCTAACGGGACAGCCACTCCACCTGTCCTACAAATATAAATGAAATGCAAGAGAGTGTACGGAATCTCAGAGAGCGAGATTTGCTTACACACTTAGTGAAATTCACTTAAATATTTGAAAGGCCTTTGTAAACTGAATGTATTTGATTTTTGAATACTGCTCATGCTGACCATGCAGGTTCAAATCCTAGCAAACCAAACTTCCCTTCACCCTTTCTGTAGATTTAATAAAGTCAATATGTAAATTTAGAAAAATTCAGGACCTCTCATAGTTCACACTCTTCACAGAGCTGAATGCCATGAGTACTGTAACTTAAAACCACAATTCTAAAATCACCTCTACAATTTTAAGATGTATTTTTCTTTTACTGTGTGTGCGAGCGCTCACGTGCAATCACTTGCATTCAGATTCCTGCAGAAGCCAGAAGAGAGCATCAGATGAGAACCCCTGGAACTGGAGTTACAGGCAGCTGTGAGCCACCCAATGCTTTCAAGTGCTGGGGACCCAACTTGAGAGCAGCAAACACTTTTAACTACTGTGCAGTCTCTCCAGCCTGAGCTTCTACATTTAAAAAAAAATCATTATACGAGGCTACATAAATCCATTTGCATGCAAGTATATAATGTACTTTGCACACATCATTAAATTAAGCTAGGCCAACAGTGTCTTTGACACACCAGAATCTCAATCATTGAAAACACTGAAGTTAGCCTCATTGTAATCATAAAATAAAAAGTATGATATCAGTTCTATTTCATTATTTCCACTCATCTCTTGTTTTTAATTTGTGCCTATCCCACAGGGACTGGATAAAACATTAAGACTGAGGAAGCCTTTTTTAGACTGGGTCTGTGTAGCCCAGGCTGGTCTTGAACTCCTATGCTTCCTGCTTTTGTCACCTCAGTACTGGGATTCCAGGCAAGAACTACCATGCCTGGTTTATGTGGCACTGGGGAGCTAACACTCTAGCAATCGCTTGACCCACCCACTAAGTGGCCTCAGTGGTTACTGCTTTCATAGTTGACTAGTATGGATAATGTAGCTATGAACTCCTGTATGCAAGTGTTTGTATATGATTTTAATTCTTTTGGACATAACCCAAGCACACCATTTTTCAAAGTGAGGGAGTGGCTTAAACTTGAGATCAGCAGGTAAGGTCAGTCTGGCTGCCTGATCCAGCCCAACTCCAAAGCTTCTTACTGGGATTGGCAATGCCATCTAAAACTCTGAGCACTCTCTTCTTTTCACTCCCACAACCAGATAGGTGTGGGACAATACACCCTCACCCCACTTCCTCCCTGGCTTGCTCACCAATCTGACCAATGGATATCACAGATTCATATCTTCATCTCTAGTGGTTCTTCTAATTCATGAGGTTCAACCCTCCAAGATAAATGCTCTTGCTGCCATTCTGTGAGAACAAATTAAAGTTAGAGGTTTGAAGCCCCACTCAATTTGTGAGATACATCTGTGATATATACAACATTGACGGCTTTATCTAACAGGACAGCCACGCCACCTGTCCTACAAATATAAATGAAGTCAAGCAAAGGAGAGTTTAGAATCTTAGAGAACAAGATTTGCTTACACACTCAATGAAATCCACTTAAATATTTTAAATGCCTTTGTAAAATGAACATACTTGATTTTCAAGGACTGCTCATGCTGACCATGGAGGTTCAAATCCCAGCAAAGACTCCTCATGCTCAGGAGATAAAGTGCTTGCAGCACAGCATGAGGATCTGAGTTCAAATCCCCTGCACCCACATACAAAGCCTGTTGTGTCAGCAGATAGGTCTATAACCCAGAACTGGGGAGAGGAGAGAGACAAGCAAATTATCCCTCACAGGATGGCCAACCTGGAAGAAGACAAGGTAAGAAAAGAGTAATGGAGGAAGACACCAGTGCCAAGCTCTGGCCTCCACATGTGCAAGTACACATACACACACACACACACACACACACACACACACACACACACAAATGAGTACTGAAGGCTTGTTCGCATATTATATGCTGGATGTTTGCTCTGCAACTCATCCAATAACCACACAGTCAACTCATCCAATAGTTACACAGTCAGGCGCCCGTATTGAGTTCCCTCCTTCCCATTCATTTTCACAGCCTTTCTTCTGTCTCATTCTTTCTCCATCACCTGCATTCTTTCCCTGATCTCCCTGGGATCTCGGTGCCCCTGACAGCTTTGCATTTAAAACTTCCTTTCTCAAAGTGAAAAGCTGAGAGCTTGCTAAGCAGAGGTCCAGTGAGCTAATGATACCTGGCATGGAAGCTCAGGCATCAGACAGAACAGGGGGTGACTCAAACCCCCCTAAAGTAAGAAATGAATATATTCATGTGCCTCCACTCACTAGTTTCCACTGGCTTAGCGCTTCTCTGTTCCCCTAGAAAATTAAAAGAAAATGGGATGGTTTAGCTTTACAAGACAATGATGGATTCACACTGGACTATGGGCTGTTAATTTGGCCATGAAAATGTAATCAAAGGTTTATAAGGTTCAGAATGATTTTATCTTGCTCATAATAAATTACCTTTTATTTAACACCTTTCTTTTTTTATTTTTTTTTCTTGCAGGCAGATCAGCTCAAAAGACTTCAGTGAGGTAAGTAACTTTTGTCTAACAAAGGGGGAATTTTGTGCATTATCTCTGTAAGAAGCAAGATTTTGATCACTGCAGGCAGCAGGGAGCACAGGGGGCTGTCTCCTTTCTTTGTACTTTTTTGTTGTTGTTTTGCCTTCCACTAGAACTTGGTGTCATCCTAACAACCAGGATTAGTTAAAACACACAGTCTTACATTTTGCCAAGATCTTTCCCTTTTATTTTGTCTGAAATGCAACTGAAGGCCAAGTATGAGACGGATCTATTCTGGCAGAAACTGCAGCCTACCTGCCCTGACACAAGCTCAAGCTTAACTTCTAGTTAGTTTGAGTCAGTGTAGACTGGTTCCTATGTGATCCTCACAAAGCCCTAAGTCAGTGGTTCTCAACCTGCCTAATGCTGCCACCCTTTAATACATTTCCTCATGTTGTGGTGACCCCCCAACCATAAAATTATTTTGTAGCTACTTCATAACATTAACTTTGCTATTGTTATCTATCATAATGTAAATATCTGCTATGAGACCCCAGGGGACCGTGACCCACAGGTTGAGAACCGCTGCCCTAAGAAAAGAAAGCCCAGGGTAAAGCTGGTTGGCAAAGTTCCCCCAGCAGGTAGAAGATGGGACTGTGCTTATGGATCCCACCATTCTGATCTGCTCCCTACTGCTGTGACTTTGCCCTAAAGTCACTTAAAATATGTTTCTAATGGAAAAACAAAAAAGGAAAAGAAGGAGAGAGGGAGAAAGCAAAGAAAACATTTCTAGCTCATTCGACTATGTTTGCTAACAGAAAAATAAACTTAAGTAGAACAGCTAAGAGACTTCACTGTGCTTTTCTAGTTGTATTTGATTTGGAATTGGAAGCCCTCAAGCAAAAGAGTCAGCTGGGCTCCAACAAGATAAAGCAACTACCCTCCCAGAAGCAGGCTTCTCATGGCTGTACAGGTCTCCTTCCCCTTGCCTTTGACAAGCCTGAGAACTCCTGCCGAATCAGATTGAGCACTTTGAACTGCTGAAGAATACTCAGTGGGGAAACTTTCAAACCACTTGTTTAGAATGGATTCATTATCCTTTACATCTAGCCTATGGATTAGCTTTGATTCACTATCCATAATACACATACCCTCATCCCAGACCCCCAGGGATGCTGAGGTCTTTAAAACAAAAAGGGCTTTCAGTTAGCTTCAAACAAGACACAGGATGCCTCTCTAAGCAAATTGCTGCTAAGGGTTTCCTGTCTCCACAGCCAACATGAATCAAGACAGCTGGGCTCAAGGTCAGTTAGTCTCAGGGTAACTCTCAGAACCTGGTCACAGGTACCACCTTGTAACTTACCTAAAACAATGATTCCTAAAATTTCTAGACTTTACAGTCCTTTGAGATTTTGATGAAAGGTATAATAAACTTTCTTTGTGCCCTCAAAGAAAGTATGATTTAATTCACTACCAGAACCTTTTTTACTTTGCAAGGTTCCTAAGCCATATCATGACATTTCCATTCCCGACTAATGAATTTCTTGTCTAGTTGATTCCTCGGGGGCTTCCCAGCAGAGGCAATGTCTGGAATGGCCTTTGGAAATTATTTGCAAGGAAGTGCTAAATCTACTGTAAAGTAATCCCATCATATAGAGGCTGAGGCAGGAGGCTTGCCTGTTTAAGCTGGGACATGAAATACATGCTGGGACCCTGCAATCCCAATAAACATGTGGATTCTTCATCACATTCAGGAAGTCTACCACTTTTAATCAGAGAAAGAGAAAGGAAGTGTTTGGAAAGAGGAATAGCTTCATCTAAGAACAATAACATAATCCTGTTCATTTTTTAAAAGGAAATTTTCGTTTTAAACAGCCTTGTACTCAAGCACAACCTCTCTTATTTCAAAGTTTTTCTTCAAACCTATTGTGTGTGTGTGTTCATGAGCACACAAATGTACATTTAAAACAAGCCACCATTTGACCTATGTATAGTGTATTCTTATTCCATTTTACATAGACATCTGCTATGTCTGCATATTTCAGTAACCAAGTATAACACCCAAATGAACAATTCCTCTGTGTGTGTGTGTGTGTGTGTGTGTGTGTGTGTGTGTGTATGCTTATATGTATGTGTGTACATGTGTGTGTATGTGTGTGCCTGCAAGTATGTATGTGCATGTACAAGCCTATATGTGTGCATGTGAAGGCCAGAGGAAGATGTCAAGTGTCTTCTGTTGTTCTCTGTCTTAGTCCCTTAAGATCTCTCACAAACCCTGATGTCTGGCTACACTGGCTTGCCAGAGGTTCCCAGGATCCACCTATGTCAGCTCCCCCCTCCTGAATCGCTACCATTACAGGCACTTGTGGCTCACTTTTACCTGAGTGGTAGGGAACTCAGTTCTTCACACTTGGATAGCAAGCACTCTTAGCCACCAAGAAGCCACCTCCCTGGCTTCTAAAGGAGCACTTCTTACTTCTCTGAACCTATAGGCTATTTCCAGTGCTCTGGTACTGGAATGACATGAACATCCTTGTGTGTGTAACTTGGCCAGATTTGGTTTCTTAGAAAGTGAGTGTCACCAAGACAGTTGTTGGAATAAGAATATTTTAAAGACTTTGATAACTATGAGTGAGTAGTGCCCCAGTAGTCAAATCAACTTTTAATGCCATCAGCCAACTATATATTTGTTACATGTATACAGAAGACAAAACCTTGGTTTTTATGTAGTTTTTAGAATGTTTGCAGATCTCCTTAAAAGTCTGTACTAACAAAAATATTCCCCAAACTCTAGTAAGAAAATTCCCAATACACACAGTTAATTTTCTGTTAAATTTTCTGTTACCTGAAGTCATTCACCATTATCTTATTTAATTTGATGCAGGTCCTTGGAGCAGAAGAAGGTAACTGTTTACATTGGTTTTCTTACCTGGGTGCTATCTTACTAGATCCTGTGTCTAGGTTATCACTGTGTGGAAAGAGAGGGTTTGAAGCCTGGGATCTATAGGGGACATTTGTGGTGAGGTCATCCAGATGAATGCAAGACTTCATAGGCTACTTAAACAGCCTCTGGTCTAAGGAGAATAATTAAAATCAGGAGTAGGGTAGTACCTTTCTTTTTCTACATCCACTAACCAAAAGAAGTCACAACTCTGCCACTTGGGAAATGCATTGCTGTCCCCCTGTTCAGAAGAAGACCTTGACGTCTCTGATGCCAGTGTCACCCATGTGTATGCATATGCCCTCATACACACACATGTGCACACTGTTGATGTTACTGACACAGACACATGCAACCCAAAGCTTGTTAAACAACAAGACACTGAGCAACAATGGACCTTCATGACTATCTTTGAAATACTGTTCCCTATTACTTTAAAATGTAAATTATCATTCAAAAGGCCAGCCTCATGGCCCAGAGAGTTAGCAAGATACAATATGGGTCAATGAAGGAGTGCAATGGAATGAAATTCTGAGACCTGTTTCCAACATATGATGGATGTGTCTTAGTTAGGTTTTTCTGTGGTTGTGATAAAAACAACTTAGGGAGGAAAGAGTTTATTTCACCTTAAAACTCTCAGATCACATTCTATTCCTGAGGGAAGTTGGGACAGGAACTCCAACAAGGCAGGAAACTGAAGGCAGGGCTGATGCAGAGGCCATGGAGGAGTGCTGCTTACTGGTTTTCTCCTTGTAGCCTGCTCAGCCTGTTTTCTTATAGCACCCAGGATCATCAGCTCAAGGGTGGCACTTCCCACAGTGAGCTGGGCCCTCCTACATCTATCATTTATCAAGAAAATGCCCCAAAGGTCAATGTTGTAGGGGATACTTTTTCAACTGAGGTTCCCTCTAGCTTGTGTCAAGTTGAAATAAAACTATGTGAGTATGAGTTGTATTTCCTCTGTGGATCTCAAGTTAGCTCTATGCATTGAAGATGTTAAAACACTTGGAAGAGGGGCCTACCTAAGCCTCCAAGAACCCTGATAGAGAACAGGGGACTTGTTAACAACTGAAATAACTGTGAAACCAAGTGAAATTTATGATAGATCTTAATGTACTAAGACATCCAGATAACCTTGCAACAGGCTTTGATGTAGTAATGTGACAATGTAGCATTGCTAAGCTCCAGAGGGGCAGATGCTGTAAGTGGCCATTGATGACAAGAAGTATTTTTATGGGTGTGTGATTAATGGGCCTATCACTAACTCAAATGCCATTGCAAGTAATCACAGTCCATTCAATCAGAGATGTCCAGTCTGTGGTCAACCTTGGGCAGAGAACAGAGTAACAACCCAAATTAAGGCAAGACAGCCAGTGTGTGCATGCTTCCATGGCTTTATGGCTCACCATCACAAGTGGAACAGTGCTTTGTGAGTCTCACATGAGAGTATATGCAATTTCCTTTATGAGTATTGATGACTGGTTAAGAATCAATCCATGGTGAAAAGCAAGGACAGTAATGGCATGCTAAGTAACTCCACTGTGGAGGCATGACCAAACTCGGTTATTTTTTCTAGTGATTTCTGTACTTAAACATTCTAGCCAAAACCAATCTGGGGGGGTGGATTTAGCTCACACTTTAAGGTCACATTCACTCGTTGAGCTAAATTGGGGCAAGAAAGAAAGATAGGAACCTGGAAGCAAGAACCATGGAAGAATGCTGCTTGCTGACCCCCTCCCAGGCTGATGCTTAGCTAGCTTTTTTAGATAGCCCAGGCACACTTGCCTGGTGGTGGTACTGCCCACAGTGGGCTGAGTCCACCTGCACCAATTAATAATCAAGATAATCCCCCAATGACATGAATATAGGCTAATCTGATCTGGGCAATTCCTCAATTGAGACTCTTCCTTCAGATTACTGAAGGATGTGTAAAGTTGACAGATTTATATAAGACAATGATCAAGGAAGAAACATGGAGGAAATGGATCCTGGTTTGTTACCAGCTGGTAACTGCTGGCCTACATCAAAACCTTGGAAGCTCTATTACAAGATGGGAATGAGACCACAATGGCTTGTACAGACAGTCAGCCCCCACAGAAGTCCTTTGGTTTCACACTCTCCTCATCCCAATGTTATTCACCAGTCAACTCTCAGAAGGCCCTCATTAGCCACACAAGGTCAACCCTACACCCTAAAGCACACTTTACTTTCTTTATGTCACTCATTCTGTCCTAATGTTTTTTCCTGCTCTGCTTGCTTGCTGTCTTCTTTTATTTAGTTACTCTCCCTACTGTAGCTCCATATTCTAGCAGATAACCTATTCCATAAGTGTTACACAAAGACTCATTGAATCATATAAAGAAACCAACAAACAAATGAATGAGTGTATGGATGCATGATAAAGCCAGTCTTTTAAAACTAATTCATCTATAATTACCCCTAAAGTGCTTTCTGATGAAAAAGTCTGTATTACTGGGAAAATCCAGTTATGTGTGCTCTAGATTGTAAACAATCCATGCAATTTTCAGTCTCCAGAAGGTAGTGCTCCTGGGGTGATGGTGGTGGTGTAGACTATATAAGTTTATAGTTTCTTTCTTTCTTTCTTTTTTTTTTTTTTGTTTTTGTTTTTTCGAGACAGGGTTTCTCTGTGTAGCTTTGGAGACTATCCTGGCACTCGCTCTGGAGACCAGGCTGGCCATCTCACAGAGATCCGCCTGCCTCTGCCTCCCAAGTGCTGGGATTAAAGGCGTGCACCACCAATGCCCGGCCTAAGTTTACAGTTTCTAAAAGTCCCCTAATGATAATGAGAATACTTAAAATTATAGCCATCACAGTGTACTACTCCCAAAAGCCCTCAATTGTATTCACTGTGCAATGTGAACCAAGTATGTCACACTTTCCAGGATCTCATCATCAGGCAAAGTCAAGACCTTGTCACCCATCACAACATCAAAGCACTCGGAAGAGTCCACCTGCCATCACCAGGTAAGGAGGCAGGAATACCTGTTATTCACATCAGCAGGCATGTGCCCTCTAGATCTTAGACGGTGACTCACAAGACTTCTAAAAGCTGGAAATGTTAGGCCTTCTAGTCTGAAGCCCTGTGATAGGTCTCAAGGAAAACAAGGACATCTCCATGTGCCACAGGATCTAATGTCTTTCTGATATTTATAAGTGATTGGCTGTTACAGGCAACTGAGGGGTATAAAAACTTAAATATTAACTGAATGGGATGAATGCTGATCAATTTTTCAGGAAAAGTGGATCATCTCTAGCTGTTATCAGTTTACGACTGCATCAAAACCCACAGGCACATTTGAACAGTACTGTATAGGTGAACAGATGTTGAGAATACTACTTCGGATGATGCAATCACATGATCAGTTTCATCATCAATTTCACTGAGGAATTGAAGAATCCTTGATCAAGGCCACTTGATAAAAATGAGTAGCGGCTTTCTCAAAATGTAGAACCTGTAAAGTTAGGACTCTGAGTTGCTGCTATGCAAGCCTGGCTAACGCCTGGGACCTCAGTTCCCGGCCCTCTCCTGTACACACTGCATCCTCATCAGATGCCCTCCAGCCACCCCACTACCACCTCAGAAGTACATTTTCACATCTATCTTCTGTCTACTTTCTTCATAGTTACTTTACCCATAGTCATTTCTCTCCCTATGTGGAAAACTTATTTCCATCCATCACACCCAAAGTTAGAGCCACACTGAAGTTAAGAGTAACTTCAAAGCCCAAGCCCCTGCTGACATAACAACTTGATTTCTGAAATGCTGCCCAATAGTCATGACTCTCCTCGAGCACACCCATATTTGAGATGGTACCTTGATTTATAGTATTTACTGGTAGTGTCCACATTAGTGATAGGAGTAGGGCTGTGAGGTGGAAGTGACTAAATTCAGACTGAGAGATGTTACCATTGGTAAACAACAGATTTGGACAGTGTTGGTGTCTAAGCTTAAAACAGAACCAGGAACATAGCAAGAGCCTAGTAAATGGCTGTTCTCTGTATGATGACCAGGCTGTGAACCTCAGAGCATCACATGCCCCAATTCCCTTCTCCTGTCTCATTCTCTTAATGTGTCCTGTTTTGTACATTCAGTAACTTCTCATTCTTTGGCCTGCAGAGATTAGGACTATTGTTTTGTAGTTCTTAGGAGGCTATTTGCTACTTAAGTTCCCATCTGACCCAATATTCTTTCTTACTGCAATTTTCTAATAGGAGGGAAAATCACATTTGAGAGACGATAATGAGCTATTCCATCTGGCCTGTACCTCTGGTAGTTACTTGATATGGTTTCAGCTTATTTGTTTGCTTTATTTATTATACAAAGTCTGATTTTAATTGTTGCCTTAATTAGCTACCTCTCCTAAGTCTCCTTCTTGGACTTCTCTCTTCAAACAGCCCTAGATGATGGTGGTACCTGAGTTCATCTTACAGGCCCCTTCCAGTCAATGAAGGCCTGAATCTCATTTGTCTCAGGGTCAAATGCCCTCCCATATCAATGATTTCCAAGTCCCCTTCTCCTGACCAAACCCCCTTGCTTGGCTCCAGACTATGCATCCAATTATTCAGTAGACCCTTCCCCTTTGAGAAGTTCCAGGTAATCCAAAACAATTGTGTTGAAATCTGCTCTTATTTTGAATGCCATTTCCAAACTTTCCCACTCCTGTGGAGAAGAACCCTTTTCTAATTCAAAATTCTATCTCCAAAACATGTCTTGAATAGACCCATTTCTCCTCCCAGCTCTTTGCATAGATCAGCCCCCATCAACTCTTGCCAGGACTGCTGAAATGGCCTCTATCGACACCAAGAACATCCACCCCCATCCCATTCCCTACGGGATTACTTCTTGGGCTCTTGCAGAACAGCCTATGGTTTCTCAGCTCTGAGCCTTCCCACAGTGATATCCCACCTTCCTGAAACATGCTTCCCCATCTTTTACAATCAGAGCAATTCTACATGTATGACCTCTCACATCACAGCAGCTGACATTGTATACTTTTCCTGGGACACCTGACGGGTCCATTAGGATTCTCCACAGTCATGTCTTCCCTACATAAACTGTTCCCCACTAATACAGAAACTGGGTCTCTCCTCCAGTTCGTATCTCCCCAAACACAGGCTCATTTGAAAGTGCTCAACACATTTGTTAGATGAGTCATCACTTTTATGTCCATTTTAGTTGTTTTAGGATTTCGTGTCTATTCTTATGAACTATGTGCTTAGTACCTAAAAGATTCTGGAAGGGCACTCCACCTCTTTTAGCATTCTCCACACATTCTTTAAAATCAGAGAGAAAGTTTGTGACTCATTTTTTTTTCCTCAGTCATTTAACAGAAACGATATATTGGTTCCTTGTAAGGGGACACTGGTTTTAATAGTCAAGAGCATGGATGTCAGAAGTGTAACCAGTGATGGTGGCAGTGTCTGGCTTTCAGATAACCTGCAAGAATTTTCAATTATAAAGCCAGCTGTAAGGTCCTTGGGCTTCTGTGGGGACAACAAAAAGCAGGCATGTCCTCAGTTGAGTTCACTGGTGCTAGGAAAAGGTCAAGTTGCTTTTAATTAGACCAGAGGCTTCCGTCAATAGCACAATCCTTGGCTCATGTAATTAGATGGAATTCTATTAGCACCTGGAGCTTACACTGACGTTGATTGTAACACAAAGTGAAGTAGAAAATTAGAGTGAGGTGCAAAGGGTGGGCAGTCCTGGTCACACCACCTTTGAGACTAGAAATGCATATTGCTGTTGTGATTACCTTGTATTTTATTTTCATAATCCCCTTTTGTGTGGTGTTCCTTGAGATCCTGCATTATTTTCTCATCCAGGTCACATTTTCAAAAGGCATGACTTTCTGTGCTTCTCTTTCTATCCATAGCCAACTCTCAACTGGTAGAAGTTCTATAGAATATGAACCACAAAGGGAGGAGCTTAGTCCTACCTCACCTTATTGCACCATGCTTTGTTGACACCCATGGGAAGCCTGCCCCTTTCTGAACAGAAACAGAGAAGGAATGGATGGGAGGGCAGAGGAGAGGTGGGGAGGGAATTGGAGGAGAGGAGGGACGGAAAACTGAAGTCAGGATGTAAAATAAATTTAAAAAGTAATTAATAAAAAATAAATTCTAAAAGAAAAGAATACGAGTCCCAAACACACTGATGTTAGCATTCGTGGGTGGAACTAAAAGGCAAGACCAAATTCATCTTATGAAAGCAAAGAGAGATGGCATGTTCTCCCAGAGATGACAAGGGGAAACAATATGTCCACCAGTCCCTTAGTTCCATGTCTAATGCTTGCCACGTTTAAGAAAGGAGAGGAAAAGCCAATCACTGCTGTTTCAGAAAACTGATAATTCTTCAAGCGAATTCAGTAAAATATGCATACTTTATAAATGTCCCCTTAAGATATTGCCATTAACTTTGACTGTAAGTGGGATTTTGTCTGTCACAGGAATGCTAACATACGAATTCTGACATTTTCTTTAGTTCCTCCTACATGCCAGCAAAGCACAGTGTACATGTCAGAGGTAAGGGCACTGTAAGAATCATGATATAAACAGGTAAGTCAGCACTCTATGAGAGTCCTACACAGTGACTTGATGTTTGGGAACTGGAGCGGTTGTGTACAGATGTGACTGTCTCATCTTCACTGATTAATAGTGCTCCCTTTGTGTTAAAGCTACATAACAACTTAATTTTTGTTTGAATTCACAATGAAACAATCCTCTTATAAGCATTATTGTTGCAAACCATAGTATTGACATCCTTTTTTTAGAAGTACAATAGGATCTAAAAAGAGAAATATCCAGGTCTCAAGCTGTGTGTCTCTTTAGCTGCCTCAGATGAATTTTTGCATGGTAGACATAGCAGTTAGTTATTAAACTGATAAGAACATACTACACCTGGTCTTTACCAGAAGGAGGGTGGATTCACACATCATTCACCAACAGTTCATGAGTACACTGTGCGCTCCATCACCCCCAACAGTTGCAGACAATTTTCCCCAATACATTGGGTATACTGTAGATTTATCTTAAGAAATAAAAATCTATAAAATGGGGGGAAATGACCCTAATAACTTAAATGACCCCTCTTACTGATCATGACATAAAACTTGGAAAGCTAACATATCTCTGCATGAAGCAGAATAGAAACACAGTCCTGTGCATGCCAGGGGGCTCAGCATTGTCAGTGTCATTTGTCTCAGCTACTTCTGCCATGTGCATTTCCCCTCTTGATTACTCTGTGTGCCAGGGAAATGCTGTGTTCATGTCTCTTGGTTGATCCAGAAAAGAGTGTCTGGGGCTGAGAAGAGCAGACTCCACAGGGTATAGTGGAAGAGGTGAGAGCTCCATTGCCCTGGTCTCAGCTCTGCCTGTCTCTCTTCAGCAGGGCCACTAAAGTCTAGTTAACCCGTTGAGCTTCGATCTTGCACTGAAGAATGTAAATAAAAGCTCCTATATTAATATCAATACAATATGCACACAGGCACATCCAGACTCCTACTTGGCACTCTCTGATCTTAATACCCTTCCTTCTTTTCTTTCTTCCCCCATTTCCTCTTCCCCAAATGACATCAGTGAGACTCAGAGATACAAGACTGCTTCCTATCATGCCTCATTTCACTTTTGCCCTGCACTGAAATAGCTAAGGCCCAGATGATAAGCTTTTTTTTTTTCAATGCATACAATGATAATGGGACTCTCTCCAAACAGGGACTCCCCTCATACACACACCTCCTTCTTCAAAACAGGGTCCAGGTAGCCCAGGGCTGTCTGTTGCCTAAGATGACCTTGAACTCCTGATCCTCCTGTCTCTACCTCCCAAAAATTGGTATTACAGTTATGCCACACAGCTGGCTTGAGTGGTCAAAAAGAGCTATGGTTAACTTGCAGCTTCCTTCCATCCCTAAGGCTCAAATGTCAGCAACAGGAGTGCTGAAGGTCAGATTTAGGCATATAAAGATGAGCGGGGCTGGGAATATCCATCTGGGGAATACCTGGGGCTGGAAAGGGCTTGACTTTCTGGGTTTTGAAAGTGTGCTTCAAGGTTAGAGAGAATCATAACTCAGACCATGGTGGGCGTCTATCTCAAAGATAAAATCGTGTGCAGGTACAAAGCAAAGCAAGCACAGTGTTAAGGGAATGGGCTTCACCACCAGGAGTCCAGTCCCTCTCAACCCATCACAGAGGAATCTAGACTCCTTAAGAAAGTCTAGAGGGGACGAAGGAGACGTTTTGCCTCCATTATTTTCTATTTCCATCAACAAGCACCCACCAAATATGTCATTAGTACTCAAAATGTGGCCACTCTGTAAAGATACAGAGACAGCCCTATCCTTCCAATGACCAGTGCTTCTCCATCAGCTTACTAGGCAAATATTCATTCTGCTGAGTAGAAGTTCATTTCTGATTCATCAGACTTAGCAATGTGACATGTGCAGAAGACAATGTGTTATCTGCACTCATAGATGGCCAGTGTGGGTCTCAGCCCTACACCAGGACTCATACAGATGCCTTAAGGGTAAGCTTTCATATAGGATAGTGCGGTCCACAACTCTGTAGATGCTGATGTCATTATTCTTATCTTACAAATGGAAAAAGAATCTTGGATACCTTTAGTTTCTGGGTAGTTCACTTACAGATAAACACAATGGGCCCAATGTATTGATAAGTTAACTCAAGCTAAACTATAAAAAATCCCAGGGAACAGATTATATGTGTGTGTTACATGTACAAACTAGAAGAGGGTTTAGAAACATCTTATTATACACCGCGATAGTAACAATATTGCTCTTTAGATTTGGAAGTGTGTATGATTGTGTGCGTGTGCATGTGCGTGTGTGTGTGTGTGTGTGTGTGTGTGTGTGTGTGTGTGTGTGTCTGTCTGTCTGTCTGTCTGTCTGTCTGTCTGTATTTATTCTTGTTTTTTCTTTTGGAAAACATACATCTTTCCTATAAGGAAACATATTTCTTTCCTATAAGGTTAATTTTTAATTACATATAGATATAAGTTAAAATATTCTGATAAGTACTGACAAAATGCCTGACTTTAAATGCTGTACTGTAAGTGACAACAGATAGATGTAAGGCTCTCTCTCTCTCTCTCTCTCTCTCTCTCTCTCTCTCTCTCTCTGGTAATACTGAGCACACAAGTTAGCATCCAGGGGCTGAACACAAGGGTCAGAGTTTGTGCTGAGACATATAGCTACCGAAGAATTTTTTTTCCCAAAAAAATTATTTTTTTATTAGTTCAAATTAGAAACAAGGCTTAGGCCCTCCCCCATGTATCCAGGCTGAGAGAGCATCCCTCCATGTGGGATGGGCTCCCAAAGTCCCTTCTTACACCAGGGAAAAATACTAATTCACTACAAGGGGCGCCATAGAGTGCTGAGGCCTCCTTATTGACATCCACATTCAGGGGTCTGGATCAGTCCTGTGTTGGCCTCCCAGACACCAGTCTGGGGTCCATGCATTCCCTCTTGTTCAGGTCAGCTGTTTTGCTACAGAATTTTAAAGCAGCCGGGCGGTGATGGCACACACCTTTAATCCCAGCACTCAGGAGGCAGAGGCAGGCAGATTTCTGTGAGTTCAAGGCCAGCCTGGTCTGCAGAGCAAGTTCCAGGACAGGCTCCAAAGCTACACAGAGAAACCCTGTCGGGAGGGGGGTGGGGAGCAAGAAAAGAAAGAAAGAAAGAAAGAAAGAAAGAAAGAAAGAAAGAAAGAGAATTTTAAAACATTATAAAGTGTTGGCAGCAGTGCAGTTTCACCCCAAACCTTTTTCTATCAACTGTTTTGCCTCTTGGGGTGTCAACTACCTACCCCAAAAACTCTTCAACTGACCTTTCACCAATCTCTCCATTGCTGTCCCCCTAATTTTCCAGGCTCCATAAGAATGATCAGCCTCAAATGCAATGTCTCACGTAAGAAGCTTTAGAAGCTTAGCTGCTTTCACTCTGAAGTAGTAAAGCCTGTGATGTGATGGGATACAGACAGCATGCTCAGAACTGTTCATTTATTCATTCATCATCCCACACAGATCCCAGCCAGCCGCCTTCACAGGAAAACTGTAGCAAATTTGCTGTTGTTTCATTTCACTAGTTCTGTGAACAGACTACAAATGCATAATTATTTCCAAATGCTCTTTTTAAAAATAGGACTTTTTAAATATTTAAGCAAGGCATACGGGGTTGAACAATAATGAATCAGTTGCTATAATATCATAAAATTTTCATAATCCCCAAACTCTATTGGGCACAAAACACAAACTAAGTAATAAGAAATGCTGATAATGCTGATTTCTCCTCTCAAGTTTGTTCTTCCTGCTTTAAGCCACAAAGGCAGTCACTGCCATTTAAATATTACACACACACACACACACACACACACACACACACACACACACACACACACCTGCACCCTGTTTTAGGATAACTTACAGGAAAGTTTTTAAGCCAATGTTCTTCTCACAAATAGAGGCCTATAGGTTTGCTCTTAGGACTGCAGGTGCGTGATCACACCTGCATGTGACTTCTCTGTGCCCTTAGCCTCTGGATACGTGGTCAGCACACTTGTGTTTTAATTTAAAACACTTAGTTTAAGTTAAAAACACTTAGGCTTTTAAGCCAATTTGTGTCTGACTTTTAAGTGCTCTGTTTCCATGTTTGATGTTTGTTGTAACTGCCAAAATTTGGCTCTAATTCTGTGTTATTTTGTGACTGTTGGCTGCTCAACTTCTCACTGATGATTTGGTTTTCTTCCTGTTTGCGTTAGATCCATCTCTCCTTTACTCCCTAGGTTTCCCCGTTGTCTGGGAGGTATACTACTCAAAATTATTCTCCTCTTGGTTACTCAACATTTTAAATAATGTTTAAAATAGCAGAAAGTCACATTCTCTTTCCAAACAGTACCAAAAAGTAAAAACAGTTTAGCAGTATAGATTCTATGCCATTTCAAGCTTAAGTTTTATTATTTACCAACTGATATTTTAGGACGGAAATCTTTAGCTTTCTTCTTGCTCTTAAGATCATAAATTGGTGGGTGAAATTAACTTACTATTATAAATGTATTTAGATTCTAGGTGGTCAGTCTTCCCCTTAGGCCTTGGTAATCCCAGCTTCTTGGCAGGAGAACCACAAATGCAAGGCTTTCCTGAAATACACAATGAGTTCACAGCCAACCTATGCAAATTAATAAGCCCCCATTTCAATAAAAGAAAAAGAAAACTAAAGAGTGTTCTAGACTGTTCTAGGGACATTGCATGCGGCCCTGGGTCCAATTCCCATTAAACACTTACATATTCTTAGGCTAAATAAAAACCATAATCACTGGCACGATTGAAACAGAACTTTCAAGGTATCAGGAATACTGTTTGTTCTTAGTAAATACTTGCCAAAACTTCATTTCATCTAAACAAAGTTTTGGGTCTAAAGCAGCTCACACCCCTGAGGTTCTTGATCAGCTGCTAAGCAGGATAACAGCCTGGTCATGCCCCTGAGACTGAGGAAGGCTATATGCTTACAATGCTGACCTGAGGAGAATCACCTCACTTCCAGTTTATATGTGTTCTCTCTGTTCTCTCTATTCTCTCTCTCTCTCTCTCTCTCTCTCTCTCTCTCTCTCTCTCTCTCTGTGTGTGTGTGTGTGTGTGTGTGTGTGTGTGTGTGTGTCTCAGACAGAGAGAGAGACACAGAGAGAGACACAGAGTATCTCTCTGTGTGTCTCTGTGTCTGTCTGTCTGTCTCTCTCTCTCTCTCTCTCTCTCTCTCTCTCTCTCTCTCTCTCTCTCTCTCTCTCTCTCTCTCTCTCTCTCTCTCTCTCTTTCTCTCTCTGTCTCTCTCAATGGAATCTCACTATGTAGCCCAGGGTGGCCTGGAGCTCTTTATGTAGACCAGGCTGACCTGCCTAGCTCTGGCTTCGAGGTACCACCACATCTGGTTTATATGTTACTTTTGTCTGGTATTTTACTTACATAGTGTTTGTATACACTTATGGTTTTATAATTTTTTTTAGCTATTCCTAGCTTAAATTACTAACATAGTCACAAATTCCTTGGCTGTGCTTGGCTAACCTCCTGATACTACATGTCATCCTTCCGACCTAAATGTCAAAACCTCCATTCTTCATTTCTATTTACAAGAATAACATGTGGTGGAAATGTTTCATTTTGGCTGAAGTATGTAGAGAAAACACCATATCAAAATTTGACAAATGGTGGTATCTTAATGCTTAGGTACCAGGTAAAATGGACTAGCTTATTTTGCATCTCAATTCACTTCTTACCCACATGGGTGAGTTAGAAATAATAGTTCACAGACATGATCCAGACTTCCAGTGGTAACATATGTGTGTGTGTGTGTGTGTGTGTGTGTGTGTGTGTGTGTGTATGCCACATTTTCCCCTCTCTGACCGAGTTCTTGAGAAAAAAAAAAAAACCTAAAGGAGGTAAGATTTCCTTTGACTTAAAATTTCAAATCCATGATTGCTGGATTCCATCACTTTTGGGATCCAAGCAAGCTCAAATATCATACAGAATGTGATGGAGCAAATCTGCTCATGTGTACCAGGAAACAGAGTGAGTAGAGTCTAGGCATAAGATAAACCCCCTCAAAGGCATGCTCACTGTGACTAAATTCCTCCAACTAGGACCCACCTCTTAACAATCTATGAACTCATCAGTAAATTAGCCCATGAAAGGGTCAGAGCCCTCATGAACCAATCACCTCTTGACAGTACTACCATTTGGGGATCAATCCTGCAATGCACACCCTTGACACAGATAGCATAATATGTTTGTGTCAGTCAGACATGCCGCAGTGTGACAGTACATTTGTGCTTATGTTTTTGATCTCTATCCATGGTTGCCTGGCCCTGTTACTTTGAGCCTATGATATAGCAGAGCATCATGGTAAGGAGTGTGTGATGGAACAAGGCTACTGGTTTCCAATGTGGGGCCCTAATATCCCCTTCAAGAGCATATACCCACTGATTTCCTCCAACTAGGGTTCATCTCCTAAAATATCTACCACCTCTCAAGAGCATCCCATGCTGTGGATCAAACCTTCAGCACACATGCTTTGGGGATCCAGTTACCATCTGAACCACAACAATGTGTCATTATATAATATACTTATATTTGCAACTAGTACCACCAATCTCATGAGAAAAGTCAATCAGAATACTGTTATGTTAGATGCAAATTTTCCAGCTTCCAACTTGCACCTTTGTGCTTTAAATTTATGACTGGCAATGAATACTATTCCCTTGCTTTATTCATTTTCAATAAAATGTCTGCCAAACATCCAAGTCTGAATTACCATGGTTTCTCTATCAGGTGCTCTTCTAGGTTAAAAAGAAATCATATTTTAGTTTTCTTAGCTTACACTTCGAGTTTTTTAATGGTATTTCCCAAGCTAGGAATGATCATGGTAGGTTTAAGAAACCAAACAGAGTTCATTACGGTCTGGATGGAGTGGTTAACATGGGAAGATGGATGTGGAAACAAGGGATGGAATGGTTAACATGAGGCAAGAATGAAGAAATAAGAAGACATGGAATTTGGAGTCTTAAAAACAGAAGAGAGGGGGCTGGAGAGATGGCTCAATGGTTAAGAGCACTGGCTGCTCTTCCAAAGGACCCAGGTTCGGTTCCCAGCACCCACATGGCAGCTCATAACTGTATGCAACTCCAGTTCCAAAGAATCTAACACCCTCACACAGACAACTCACCTAATGTAAAAATAAAGTACTAGTAGTAGTAGTAGTAGTAGTAGTTTTTCCAGAGTCTCTCTGTAGCCATGGCTGTCCTGGAACTTGCTCTGTAGACCAAGCTGTCCTTGAACTCACAGAGATCTGCCTGACTCTGCTTCCCAAGTGCTGGGATTAAAGGCCTGCACCACCACCTCCAGCTAAAGAAATTATTTAAACAAACAAAAAAAAGATGAGGCACTTTTTTTGGGGGGGGCGATAATCATGGAAGTATTTTTAGCCAGGATGAGTAGCTAAGTCAGTTACATGTCTGTCTCTGTCTCTCTTGCTCTGTGTAAGAGAGAGAGAGAGAGAGAGAGAGAGAGAGAGAGAGAGAGAGAGAGAGAGAGAGAGAGAGAGAGAAGTAGGCCCACACAGAGGTCAACCTTGGTTTTGGTCCTTACCTTCCACCTTATTTAAGACAGAATCTTTGAGGAGTTTTTTGGGGGGGCTGTTGTTGTTGTTGTTTTGTTTTGTTTTGTTTTTTCTAATATAGTCTGCCAGGTTAGCTGGCCTGAAAGCCTCTGGGGATTCTCCTGTCTCTGTCTACCATTTCCCTGTAGGAATGCTGGGATTATAGCTCTCAATAGCATCTGGCCTTTTCATGGGTTCTGAGGATTTAAACACAGCTCGTCACACTTGTGAAGCAAACTCTTCTTACCTACTGAGCCAGACACACAATTTAGAGAGAGTGGCCAGGGTGGATGTGGAAACAAGGCAGTAATTCAGAGAGCACTGCAGTCCATGGTGATAGGGTATTGTCTAGACCACAAAGATGGCCTGCCAGAGGCAGGCAGAAGTGATGGGCCCAGCTTTCTGTTGGAAGGAGACAGGCTAAGCCAGCAATGTGATTTCATTCAAGTGTACTCTCTTCCCAGACCATACAGGTACCATGCAACACCATCTTCCTCAGAGATGCCAAGCTGCATCCAGCCACAGCCCTCATGATCGAGCCCTGCCCTATGAAAACACAAACACAGAGAAACCTGGCCCCACCAAGCTTGATGAGAAGGTGAGGTGGGAACTTCTCTGCAAGCCCTTCTGACTGTCCTTGGCATCCAGTGAGAGCTTGCTGGGAAAGCCCAAAGCAGATCATTGTGGCTGCAATTAATTATTTTCCAATATAATGACAAATCAGTTGGGTTTAATGTTTCTAAAATGTTCTGTTGTCTCATACGTCATTAGTCTTTCACTAAATGTTTAACTTGCATGCTTTGCAGATTCTCAGAACGTTCTGCTCATTAATTCCAGGGGGTAGGAGGGCAGGGCTGAGAGAGATTTACACTTGTATCTGTTAAGTTTCATGGATGATTAACTGGAATTTGAATATGAGAATTCATTTTCCATCAAAAGATTTACAAGTCACATTTCAACATCAGTTGAGCCTGGCAGCCATTTCCTGAGCATTGATTATCTGATATCTGTATCAGACAGTGAGAGGAGTCTAGATCCCTAACACAGAAGAGAGTTAGAAACAACTAATAAGTGGCTTCATTTGTCTTTGTCTGTTTCCCTGTCTCTCCCTAAAATCAGCTTCATTCACACAGTCACTGCTCAGGCCATCTTGCACTCATGGCGTCCTCTAAAGAGAGTGAGCTCTCCTTGTGTCCTATCGGCTGCACCCTCCATCACCTAGGACATTGCTTTCTACAGACAGCACCAAAGAAGATGCTGCTGCCTTCATTCCATATCCCCCACTGCTGCAGACCTTCTTGCAGTTTGAAAGTGAAGCATCTGTGATCTCTGATCAATTCCTATAGTGTCTCAAATGTCTCTGCTTGGCCTTATAATTAATCCCTACCTAGTTCTCTAATGGCATCCCATTCTTCCAAGGGACTCTGGAATACTCTTTCATTTTCACTCAGCCATTCTCAGAAGTCTTAGGATTCTTGGGCTCTAACTGAGTGTCTGTGTAAGACCAAACTCCTAGTGCCTGAGTTCCATGGGCATGAGAGCAGCTTAGATTAAATCAGGATGTCCCTATTTTCAACAGTTCCTATTTTCAACAGTTCTGGCTTGTTACAGATCTAAATCCTCTCAATAATGATATCTGCGTAATATTTGGTAAATTGGCTGCTCTCACTTTCCATTGCTAAGTTAATATTTTAAAGCAGTATTCCAGAACACAGACTAAAAAGAAACTAGAAGTCAATTACCACATTCTACTACGGGGCATATCCTCAAGAGAACTGAAAGCAGAGCCCAACAGCATTTGAACACTCTGTTTATAACATTTATGATAGTCAAAAGGCAGGAAGAACAAAGATGTCCATTCATAGACAGAGTGAAGAGGAGTTATCCACACCTTCATTGCAAATGCAACTGAGAGAGAGAGAGAGAGAGAGAGAGAGAGAGAGAGAGAGAGAGAGAAATAATCTCAAATAGAAAAAAATCTGGCATGTGCTACATGAATATACTTCAAAAACATGACACTAGGTGTAGTCAGACAGACACTAAAGGACAAGCACATACCTCCTGCTATTCATGGTTCATAGAGCAGCAAAGTCTACAGAGACATCCAGGAGCAAGGTGGCTCCCCAGAACTGGGAAGGAGAAGGCAGTAATGGAGAGCTGTTGTTTAGTGGGCACACAGTTTCAGTTTGAGAGGATGGAACATTCTTGGAAATAGATAGTGGTGATGGTTTTAAAATAATATAAATGTTCTTACTGCAATGGGTTGAACACTCAAAAATGGCTAAAATGGTGATTCTTTACACTGTGTATATTTTATTGTGCTTTTAAAAAAGCATAGCAGGTTCCTGCATCCGGCTAAAGGTTCCCAGAGTAAGGGTCTCATGTCTTCTGTTGAGTGATGACTAGAAATGCCAACATTGTTAAGGAGACTCAAGCAGAGTGCTCTGCAGTCACTCAGAGGACCAGAAAGGACTACAGATGAGCTTGGCTCCTCCACATTGTCACTAAGAAGCCACCAAGAGCTTCACTCAAGCACTAGTCTACACCCTACACCCCTCATAACCACATCTTGAAATAGTTCAAGATGCCCCAAGCTGCAATATCTAAGGCAGTGGTTCTCAACCTGTGGGTCATGACCCCTTTGGGGAATGATATATCAGATATCCTGTATATAAGATATTTACATTACAATTCATAACAATAGCAAATTACAGTTATGAAGTAGCAATGAAATAATGTTATGTTGGGAGTCACTACAACATGAGGAACTGTATTAAAGGGTCCCAGCATTAGGAAAGTTGAGAACCACTGCTCTAAGGCATCTTCCAACTTAAAGGAATAAATCAGAGTAGATGAAACACACCATGGCTGAGCCCCCCCCCCCCAAAGCTCTGAGGCTAACCAGGAGTCCCAGAGCCACCACCACAATGACCACAGTGATAGGAAGCCTCACACTCTAGCAGAGAGCTAAAGTTTTGGACATTTTCTTACTGGGAGCCTGACTTAGCTTTGCCTAGGACAGAGTCTTGACCTTCCTAGCACTGATTATTCCTCAAGTAGAGGAACTTATTACAAAGGGGGCTTCAAACAAGGTAAGAGTTTTAGTTTCATTTTTTGTCTGTGTTTACAAAACCAAAGAACTGTCGGGTGATGGTGGCACACACCTTTAATCCCAGCAATCAGGAGGCAGAGGCAGGCAGATCTCTGTGAGTTTGAGACCAGTCTGGTCTTCAAAGAGAGTTCCAGGACAGTCTCCAAACCTATAGAGAAACCCTGTCTCGAAAAACAAAAACAAAAAACAAAAAAAAAAAACAAAGAACAAAGAACTACTTAAGATATTTATGCTGAGCAGTTGGTGGCACACGCCTTTAATCCCAGCACTCGGGAGGCACAAACAAGTGGATCTCTGAGTTTGAGGCCAGCCTGGTTTACAGAACCAGTTCCAGGATAGGCTCGAAAGCTATACAGAGAAACCATGACTGGAAAAACCAAAAACAGAAAGACATTATTTACATGCAATAAATATCAGAAATTGCAAGTATTATGTACAGTCTCATGGCTTTTGAGAAACAAAAATACCAGGCTAGCCACTGTCCTGGTTCAAGAACCACTTTCCACTATACCCCAATATCCTTCCTGCTCTTATGAAACCCTGTCCTCCTCTGGCTCCAGACAGCAACTCTCTAATTTCCACCACTGCCCTGTGTTCTTCCTAGAGGCCTGTCTAAACAGAACCAGAGAGTAGCTTTTTGTGCCCTGAGCACAATGCTTTTGAGGGTCACCCCTGTTGTTACCTGTGTCCTGTTTCCCTTTAGTTTGGGATTGCACTCTTAATGGAGGAGAGTGCCTGAGTTGAATGGCAGAGACAGAAGGTGTGTGTGTGTGTTGGAATAGTAGACATGTCTGACTGGCTAGGCCCATGATCTGAGAGCATGAAAGGAAGCGCAGCTGCAGCTAGGTAGGAGCAGTACATGCTAGCCAGATGGCATTCACCTTTGCCCATCACTGGATGGATCATGTTGGTGCTGGGAAGATGGGAGACTGCAATGGGAGACCAAGGACTTGATGTCACGTCCCTGATTTTTGCCAACCCCATGGAAGGTTTTGACTCCTCGAGTCTCTGCCACCTATCTATAACTAGAACGAGCACTGTCCATCATGAATGGTCAGTCCAGACAAGTAGTGTAGGAAAGGTTTCAGATACTGAATAAAGAAGGGCCTTGAAGAGGGATGGCTCCACATTGTAACCCTGGGAACTCAATGAAGAGATTGAAGGACCATGCTGTCTTGGGCACACATGCAATGCCAGAGCATAGATGTAAACACTTGCATCTTTCTGCAATGTCAGAATTCACTGAGTAACACTGACAGATGGGGTGAGGGGTGTTATGCTTCTTGAAACTCAAATGATGGACTTTTCCTAACTGATGGGCAATTTCTGGCCACTCCCAATAACCACTCTCTTTTTATCCCTATCAACCCAAGAATTTCCAGCTGTAGTTGCTTTTGCCATGTTCATCTTCTCCTAGCATCAGTAGGCATTTCCAGGTTCCAGGTGCTATGCTAAATATCTATCAATTAGCCTGTGATTGGACACTGGTGGAACAAAAGTAAAATTTGAATTAATTGGTCCATAATGAATACCTCCCTCTGATCCTAAAATATTCCTCATTGTACCACAGGACGTCCAGCAGAATGAATGGTACATTGGAGAATACAGTCGCCAGGCAGTAGAAGAGGTGCTTATGAGAGAGAACAAGGTAATGCCTCTACATCCTTCCTGTGGCCATCAAGTGTATTTCTGCATGCAGGAACACTCAAACCTAGAAGGGGGATGAGGAGGTTCTATGGAAGAGGAAAGGCGTGAGAAAGGTTAATGGGGTACAGTTTCTAGTTACTTCAGGGAAAACCTTGATGAAAGAACACTAGATATCAGATGAAATTGTGGAATAATTTTCTTAAAATGCAAAGATATTTAAAATGGTCTCAAACCTAAGACTTGGTTTTGTCGTTTATCAGACATGTGACTTTCCCAAGTTCCTAAACAAGGTTAGCTGTTGATTCTTTATTCATAAAAATGAAAATAAGAAAAAAAATGAAAATAAGTTTTTGAAAATATCAATGCTAAAGGAGCCACTGGAAAATCACTTGTGGTATCTGGGATTCAGTGGTCACAATGAGAAGTGTCTCCTTCTGCTCTCTTCAGATTCCATCCCCTTACTACATCTGTGCCAATGGTACAAATGGGTCTTTATGTCTCACTTCTTCCAGAAAGGAGCAGGAGTCACGAATACTGTGATCCAGCATATGACATGTCATGCTGCAGTAACAGACACCCTCAAGATCTCCGTTTTATCACATGATACTATTTCTTCACTGCACACCAGATTTAAGATAGATTTGTTTAGTCTGTGTGAGGCCCTGTGTCCACAGAGTGCTTCTACCACCCCACTCTGGCTCTCCATACATCTCTCCAGGAATAATATACTTTACCTTTTCCTTGACCAAATTCCAAGACCAAAGCCAATTTCAAAGGGAAGAGAGAGGTTCCAGCCTACTGTGTGACCAAAAGGAGAGAAGAACTTGAAAAACTGACTACCACAGCCTTGATCACAAAGCGAGTGACTATTATTAGGTGACTACTCTATTAGATACAGAACTATGCTGGGTCAGTCAGAAATAACAGAGAGCTTCTATGACTTCAGGTCACCAAATGTGAATGCTGAATGTAAAAACACAATATGAATTAGTCAGTTAATTGGTGACCAAATCATAGGTCTCCAACACATTTAAGAAAACTCCAAATTGATATAAAAGACTCACCAGTTGATATGATAAACAGAATCATGGCCATTCCCCCACCCCACACATAATGATGCTCATGGCCTAAATCCCAGAACCTGTGAATGAATCACTTTATATAGAAAAGGGGCCTTAGCAGATTAACTAAGTTGGGGATTAAGATGGGAAGGCTATTCTGAGATGAGTGTCCCCTTATGATTCCCGATAAGAGGGAGGCAGAGATGTCATGGAAAATATGTGATTATGGAAACAGAGGTCAGAATGGTGGGGGCACCATAGGCAAGGAATTCTAGTTACCTCTAGAGACTTATCAGAGTCACAGACATGGACTCCATCCCCCAACACTAGCCCTAGCTCACTGAGACCTACATTGGACTTCTGACCTCCAAAACTATTCAAGAATGACTTTACTTCTAAGTCACTAATTTCACATTAGCTTGTTAATGCTAGCAGTAGACACAAAGAAGATTGCCAACAAACCATCATGACTCTATCAGGAATAAGGGGAACTATCCCATTCCATAGATGGGGAGGCTTGAGGCCAAGGTCTCAGTCACAACAAAGAAATTAGTACCTCTTTCACCAAGTCTCAGCTGCTTCCAGCTACCATAACAGTTCTCTGCAGTGGCTGGTCCCCTGTCCTGGGATCTCTAGCCCCTTCCTCTGTTGGGGCCTCAGACATGGCTGGCATCTGCTGTCAATAGGATGAAGCACAGGATGATGTCATATGATGAGGATGGTAGACCCCAGCCAAGGCTTCCCTTCTTGGGCAATCATTACCCAGTACAGTATTGTATTCACAGAGTTGGGCTTTCACCAGAAAACAATCATAGAGGACCCAGATGCAGAAGCCCACATGCGAACTGTGCTGGGAGAGCAATGTGCAGGCCATCTGGCATCAGTGTGGCAGGGCTTGGTGCTCCTCAAATGCTCCCTTCCTCCCTGTGTGCCTATTCTGCCTCCTCCAAAGGCACAGAAGAACACTGGCTAAGCTGAACAACTGTGTTTTCCTTTTCTGTTTGCATCAGTCTTGTCAGGATGTGTTTCCCATTCATGAGAGATAATTTAGTTTAAATGAAAGATTTCCCAGATTTATTTTGACAAGTATATTGCAGAGTTTAAGAAGATAAACCCCAGTTTGGCCTCAATTCTTGGCCCCCTTTCCCTTCCTGATCTCTGGCAGTGTTCTATGCTGGAGTTCTAAGTCTTTGCTTCTGAATGAACACTTTAGGCAGAGGAAGCTGCAGATGGTTCCTCATCACCCCTGATGAAGCAGAAGTCACCATGTTTAAAGTGTTAGACTTCAAGCTTGACTTTCAGGTTTATCATTTGCTAACTATCCAACCAATAGCCACATGTGATCAAGAACAGCTATGAATGCATGCCAACATGCAAGTGTTAATTTATTCAAACCCTATGAGTCAATTTTTGTAATTTTTGTAACTTTTTAAAAAAGATTTATTTGTATTATTTTTATTCGTGTGTGTGTGTGTGTGTGTGTGTGTGTGTGTGTGTGTGTGTGTGTGTGTGCGCATGCACACCCATGCACATATACATATATGTGTGGGTGCTCACAGAGGCCAGAAAGGCATGTTGGCATGCCTCAAGAGACAGGCATAATTTTGTGATATGGGTGCTGGGTTTTCACGATAGAGCAGCAAGAACTCTTAATGGCTAAGCCATATTTCCACCCTTATTCTTTTTCTTTGAAATTTTGACTTCATTTCTCAAGCACGGACTTATAGATGGCAGCCTCACATCCAGTCTCAATGTTGGACATACCTGCTAAGCCTAGGAGATTTGCTTAGGTTCAGAAGCCATGTCCCTGTATCTGTAAATGGGGGTAAATGTCTATCCTCAAGATTTATGTAAAGACCGAATGAAATAATGCATGCAAGATGCTGGTCACCTCAAGGGCAGCTCTCAGTAGATTTCTAGTGCCCACACTGTTAGAACATATGCACAAAATAATAGTGCTATTTTTAAATTTAGTTTTTGTTAAGGAATCATATTGCATGACATAGTATTTTATATGTCATATATTTATATTATAGATTATATTATTTTACAGATTAGTTAAATATAATCTATATAGAGAACTAAGTAATGATTACAAATCTAAATCATCATACATACTGTCTACACCTATGCTATTTTTATGACATTTATCATTGACACACATTTACAGTTGCAGACTTTCAGTACCCTCCAGCATGTGGATGACACAGCATAATCCTGAAGCCAAGCCCTTCAGTGTGTTCAGAGGAAGCCCAGTTCTCAACTTTACACATTCATCTTGAGTTATTCCCTCCAGTGTGTCTGGGTATTTCTGTTCCACGTCCTTCATATCCTCAGCCCTTGGTCTCAGGGCTCCTGTTCTCTTTGCATACCTTTGTTGTCCACCACTTGGCCTCAGACACTAAAGCTTCTTGCAACTTTTTTATCTCCTCTCCCTTGCCTCACCCCTGCCTTATGCAAGCTGTATTTCCTGCTCCCTCTCTCTAGTCATTTTGGCAATCTTCTCTACAAAGTACCATCCCTCTTTTGGGAACCCTGATCCTGAATCAAAATCTCCCACACCCATACCCCCCCCACACACACACACACAGGTGTCCAATTCTTGGGCTAAGATCTTTGCATGGTCTATGATGGCTTTCATTTCATAGAACAAGATTCGACCTCTAGATGAACAGGAGACATGTGAACAGTGACAGGTACAGAGAAACACACCAGAGAGGGATGAAGGAGGACCTCCCTGTGCAGAAAGGGGACAGTATGCAACAGATAAGAAACCCAGAGCAGGTGTGCATTCAGAAAGTAGTAGTCTAGCTGGAGCCAGGAGCTGGGGACATGAGATCAAACAAAGGACTAGTTGGTGAATCCACTATGAAAGTCTCATTAAGGTTGTAAGAATTATGCAACAAGTAGAGGAAGATTTGAAAGAAGGAAATACATTATGCATCTGGTATACTCTCAGAAGGTAGTAAATCATCTTATCTATACAAACACTGTGTCAGCCATTGCTGTGGCAAAAGACCTGAGGAAACTGAGAAAGAAGGATTTCTTTGGCCTTCTGGTATCAACCCACAGCAGGCTGATCCCATTGCTTTTAGGTCTGTGGCAAACAGAAGCACTATGGATGAAGGGCTGCCTACCTCACAGTAGACAGGAAGCAGAAAGACGATAAGACCAGATACCTCCTCTCAATGAAAGGCTCCTCACCCATCAATGGCCTACTTCATAGGACTAGGCCCCACCTCCAAATAGCTCATTCAGCTTTGAACTCACCAATGGGTTAACTTCATGATGTTAGTGCCTTCATAAACCAATTGCCTCCCTGTAACACCACCAGTTAACACATGAGCCTTTTGAGGGGACACTTCATATCCAAACCCCAACAGGCACTCAGGAAGAGCTCACTGAGTTAAATGGAATGTACATCTGGGCTGCCCAAAACTAAGTTCATTTAGGAGTTTCACAAAAGCATCATTGTTGACATCACCTTAAGGCCAGGGTAATGAACACCTGAGAAGATAACCCTAACTCCTTTCATTTCAGGATGGTACTTTTTTGGTCCGAGATTGTTCCACAAAATCCAAGGCAGAGCCCTATGTTTTGGTGGTGTTTTATGGGAACAAAGTCTACAATGTGAAAATTCGTTTCCTGGAGAGCAATCAGCAGTTTGCCCTGGGATCAGGACTCAGAGGAAATGAGGTAAGTGCCACCCAACCACTTCCCCTTCCTTGGGTATAAGTAAAAATGAAATAGAGAGTTTGGGAGATGCTGGGTCCATGTCTCCATACCCCAATGAACACAGGACAGAATTGAAAAGACACTGCAGTGATACCCTTCCACCCCCTTTCATGAACATCCTAGCACATGCGTTCTGTGTTCAGTTCATCAGGCCAGCCGTCCACAATGCTACTGGATGTCCCTCATCCTCCTAAGCCTATTAGAGAAACCTACTCAGAAAGAAGCAACTGCATTCTGCCTTGTGGAGAGTTTCTCTTAGCCCATGCTGACACTCCATTCTCCCACCTCTCCATTTTTGCTGCAGGTATCTCTGAAGTCAAGTGTCTTTCATTTATGCACAGGACTAGTTCTCAAAATGAGTGTGTGTTCAACAGTAGCATTCGGTGCTAAACTGAGGTTCCATTATCAGTACAGGTGTGCTGACGGGAATCCATCTATTGGCAAATTGGTCAGTTGCACAGGCCAATAATCCCACATACTTATGAGGCTGAGGTGGGAAGATTGCCAAGACTAGCATAGTCAACTTAGTGCGAGCCCTGTCTTAAAATAAAAGGTGCAAACAGGGTTGAGGATGTGGCTCAGTGGTAGAGTGCTTGCCCAGCACATGTGAGGCCCTAGGTTTAATCTATAGTACTACAAAAAATCAACTAAACATCAATTAATAGCAATATAAATAACTTGATCAAAAAGGGATGTCTTTCTGTGTACATCATCCTATTTCAGTCAACAACTTTGTGATGTGATAATTCCTTTCTCAGAGTTACAGAAGCGGAGTCCTAGAAAATTAAGTAAATGGTCAAGGGATGGAAGCAATTGGCAGGAGGGTAAGCAAAGGCTGTACTCCCAGGCTTTCTTTGATGAAAAATAAAGAAGAAAAATGGGGAAGAAGGAAGCTAGTTGTACGTCATCATCTACTACGGATGTGAGCGTGGGCACATCCCTCCACTACTCTGGGCTTTAATCTCAAGTGCAAATCTTAGGATCTATATCCCTGTAATTCAGTGATGGCCATTCCTTGTGTTGTGAAAGTCAAGTCTTGACCTCATCTGCTGGTGGGGGTCATGGTGTGGAGTGTCTATCTCCCTCTGGCAAATTTACAAGATGATGTCTGAAATCCAAGGAATTCACAGTAGTACTTTAAGGCCTTTATAGAGATACTTAAGGTTAAATGACAGAGGTTAGCTCTAATCCAATAGGACTGGCTTCTTTAAAATAAACAAAAAAATATTTTTAGAAGAGAAACCACAGGGCTGGGAAGGTGGCAACAGGTAGATTCCTGAGGCTCAATGGCTGCCAGATGAGCCAACTTGGCAAACTTCAGGCCTGTGTGAGAACTTGTCTCAAAAATGAATAAAGTGGACAGCACCTGAAAAATGACACCCAAAATTGTTCTCTGCCCTACTGATACACACATGTAAAGACACCTAATCACACGCAAACATACATACATGTACACAAACATACATACATGTGCACACACATACAAATAAGCACTAGGAAGTCAGAGGGTCAGAGATACAGAGATGGTCTACAGCTCTCATCAGTGTTCTTGGTCTGTGCATCATCCATGCTTCATCTGTCCTGGAAACAGAGGAAGGTATCTGTGTCTCCTCAGACCCTCTGGTACTACTACAGTCCAAGCTTGAATTTATAAGAACTTTTCTCAAACATTCATACTGAGGCTCAGGTGTTGACCTCAGCTCCTAAGCCAAATTCAGCAGATGAGCCATGGAAACTCCTTTATTGAGGCAAGGGAAGGGATCTGCCAGGAAACAATACCTACTATACGAGGCAGCAAGGAAGAAAGCACACAGTAGAAAGCAAGCATGATTCTGAAGGCCTGGTGCAGGCAGTAATCCAACACACCAATTCAATCTGCAAATGCCGGTAGGAAAGAAGTGCCGCCTAATAGAAGCCAAGGACCTGGATGCACAGATGAAAATAGTTCATTACCAAAAAAAAAAAAAAAAAAAAAAAAAAAAAAAAAAAAAAAAAAACACCGGTGTCACTTGGTGACTTGGTGTGTAGAGTACTTACCTAGCATGCATGAAGCCCTGGGTTCCATCTACATAAAACAGGTATGGTGGTGCACATTTGTAATCCCAGCACTTGGAATGTAGAGGCAAGAGGATCAAGTTCATCCCCAGTTACATAGTGACTTCTGGGCCAGCATGGACTACACGAGACCCTATCTCAAAAAAGAAAGGAAGGCAGGAAGGATGGGAGGGAAGGAGGGAGAGAGAGAAGAGGGAGAGAGAGAAGAGAGAGAGAGAGAGAGAGAGAGAGAGAGAGAGAGAATGAAAGAAACAAAGCTACACAGAGAAACCCTGTCTCGAAAAATCAGAAAGAAAGACAGACAGACAGACAGACAGACAGACAGACAGACAGACAGACAGACAGACAGACAGACAGACAGACAGACAGACAGACAGACAGACAGACAGACAGACAGACAGACAGACAGACAGACAGACAGACAGACAGACAGACAGACAGACAGACAGACAGACAAGATCATAACTTGTCAATGGCTGCATAGTAGCCATATTGAACCATAGAAGAACAAACATTTTCCAAATGATCCCAGATTGGAACTGCTGTTTGTCATGACCTTAATCAGAACTACACTAGAAAAAAATAGTAAGTCACTGTCAAATGACCTTCTCAAAGCCTGCAAACCACCTGGTTCCACTCTCTTTAATCCTTAAAATATATAAACAAGGATTTCTCAGCCACATGAAACAGAGGTCTAATATGAAATACTAATGTCTGATCTAACATGAGATAGTAATGTCTGCATTTTGCTATATTTACAAACAGTGGTCAATTGTTCTGAAACAAATTCACTATGGGTTTTACTCATGGAAATTATTAGCTGATGTAGCAATATAATCAAAGTATATCCATTTTCATTTGTTTTGTGCCATGTGCACTGTGACAATAGCTGCAGGGTCACTTTGACAATTGTACTTGAGTGTACTATTCTCTACTAAGTATCTTTTAATTTTTATTGTGTATGTGTGTGTATAAGTACATGTATGTGTAACACATATATGCAGCTGCCCACAGAGACCAGAAGAAGGCATTGGATCACTTGGAACTGGAGTTTGTGAGCCATCAGATGTGGGTGCTGGGAACAGAAGCCAGGGCCTCTGCAAGAGTAGCAATTATTCTTACCCACTGAGCCATCTTTCCAGACCTCAAGCATCTTTTAAATGATCACACTTAAGTTTAGATTTGGAGTATGGTAAAGGAAGCTACTTTTTCTAATGTCTATTGAGAGAAAATAAGAGTTGTGGCTCCACAGATTTACTTGTAGGGAACCACATTATAAATGTCCAGCTGAAATATGCCAGGTGGACATTTGAAAGTTAAAAATGTTTAAGAATACTCATACACCATAATGTTTACCAAAAGGGCATTCAGCTTGTTCTTTTTTTTTTTTTTTTTTTTTTTTGGTTTTTCGAGACAGGGTTTCTCTGTGTAGCTTTGGAGCCTATTCTGGCACTCGCTCTGGAGAACAGGCTGGCCTCGAACTCATAGAGATCCACCTGCCTCTGCCTCCTGAGTGCTGGGATTAAAGATGTGCACCACCAAAGCCCGGCTCAGCTTGTTGTTAATAAATAGCTGCATCTTCCTAAGTCAAACACTGGAGAATGTGTGAAGAGCACATGGGCTTATAAGAATGGGGTACAACACTGAGACCCAGTGGCCTTATTTCTTACATGCAGTGAATGGCACCTGCCAACAGCTATACTAAAGTCTTTTATAATATTCGTTTTATTTTTAATTGTATGTATGTGTGGGTATCTGTGTGTATGTGCACATAAGTGCAGGTGCCCAAGAAGGCCAGAAGGGGGCATCAGATACCCAGAGACTGGAGGATAGGTGTTTGTGAGCCACCATGTGAGTGCTGGGAACAGAACTTGGGTCCTCTGCAAAAGCAGTAAAGGCTCCTAACCACTGATCTATCTCTCAAGCCCCTGTCCACTCCCATTTTTTTAAAAAACTGAAATAGTTTTGAGGATCATTCAATAGCTTTCAGAAAATATTTTTGAGATCTAGCAACCGCCAGCTATTCTGATAGAGACCTGGCCCTGTGTCATTGTGGCAAAGCCTCCTTATAGTGGAGAGTTGAATGGTGCAAACGCTGTAAGTGCCTACAGAAGAAGGAGCCATGTTAATATGTATAATTCTAATGGACTTTACCCTGGAAAATCAAAGAAACAAAATTATTTTAGTATAGTTTGCTGAATGTAACAACATGGATTGTTTTCTACACTGTAGTCTCATTTTATATGTCCTATTTGTTTTACAAGTTTGCCCTTGGGCTAGAATACCAGTATGCATATGTTATAAATGGCTTGGCTATAAACTATATTTCAAAGTAAATCCTAGTATGGTTTTTAAAAAAGATAAAACAAAAACTAGCCCAGAGAAGGAAAATCATGTAAGCGAGGACATGGGGACACATCAGTCATCTGCCACCCAAGGAGAGAAGCTCAGGAAGAATCAACATATAGATGCCTGGGACCTCTGGCCTGCTAAATTGTGGGAAATATTTTTTTTCTGTTTCTTCCATTCTGTTATGACCGACAGTATTTCTTCCACTGTTAGGACAGCCCTGAAAACTTAGAGTCCAGAACTTCCATAAATGCCAGTAGTTAATCAGTCCATATTGAAATAATGTCACCAAGGCTTAGAGAGTACTTCCTGTGGCCACATATGTGACAAGCCTGTCTACTGACTATATCTGAAAAGTCCTGGTTACATTGGTCTCCAACACAGAGTAGTTTTCTGAGAATTGCATGTGGCCTGAGCTAGCACTGGGGAGGGTGCAGTAAGATGGGTAATTGGCATATCTAGCATCTCCTAAGAAACATGCCCCCAAGAATTTGACTCCATTAATTGAGATGTGAAGTCCCTTTTCTGTACCGCATGAAAAGGAGAGGGAGCTGAGTCTCAGGATTCATGGTTCTCTGCTTCCTGACAGGAGATATAATGTGACCGGCTGCCTCAGGCTCTTGCTGCCAGGATGTCCCCACCATGATGAATCTTAACCCAGTGCCAGAATCAGCCCTTTCTTCCTCAAGCTGCTTTTGTTGGGGGTATTTTATCAGGGCAATGAGACTGCAACTAGGATAGACAATGAAATCAGTTCTCCAGACTTTCCTCAGCCCAGGATATGTGAACTGAGCCAGGAAATAGGCTGCTCCATTCACTGTATCCTTCAACATCTTCTTCCAGCTCATAGAATTTTTTTTATTAAAACAACAACAAAAAAAACATTGTATGTTTTTTAAATGCTTAGGCTTCATGGTTTCTTTCCCTTATAGGACTAGGAAATAGCTACTCTAGGGCCTTCCCTCTGCCAAGAGATTTGTAATTTGCTCTCTCACTTGGTCCTTGAAGCTTCTCTAGGAAGGGCACATTATTGAGTCCCATTTACTGGGGACAAACAGAGCCGGTACTAAGGTCTCAGCTTTGTTTCCAACATGCCACACTTTGGCATGCTAATGAAAGACAGGATACAGTGTAATGTTATAATTACATCCTAACAGCATCTTAGTGGACCACAAGTCATCAGCTGGCTGCCTTGGAAATAAAGAGCTGTCAACTGAGGCCACCTGTAGACCCCACCATAAGCACCTGACAAGCTGTTCCAATTACTGGATCCTGGTGCCTATTTTTTAAAGCCCCATTCTGTGTTAGTCCATAATTCTCTCTTCTTTGCACCCTCTGGGCATGAGTTCCCTTTCCATGGATCTGTCAATCATTATACACATGTACTTTGCATACTCAGAGCCACCCTGTGAGGCAAGTGCTGCTCTCATTTTCTAGATGGTGAAAGTGAAGTACAAAAAGGCTAAGAAAACGGCAGTCCTGGGATGTACTCTCCTTGGCAAGTATCTTGGCTTTTTCATACAATCTCTCCCACTTGATGACAGCTCCCAAGCACTGCAGGTTGAGAACAGGCAACACCTACTTGGAGCTTACTGTATGTCTAGCATCTCGAGAGTAACACCCTACAGAGATTCTTCCCACTGTTATTGGAAATCGTTGAGCCCTGCAGTCAGAGTGAAATGGCCCCATGTGCCTTTCACAGCCTGACCCCTCTGCCTTACTGAGGAACTTCACTTCATTAAGAGAATTGGAAGAACCAGATTCCGATATCTCTGATAAAATGCAAGACATCCCAGCTCTTCCATCTGTGCTCAGACAAAGAGCATCATCCGCCACTTCAACAGGAAATACATGATGAGAAAGAGGGCTTCTGGGGAGAATATTCACTTCATCTTGTTTTCATCTATCTTGTGGGCTTCGTAATGGCACAGGAAGACAGTAGCTCCTAACTCACAGGAGCTATCTGAGTGTGAGATGGCGTGATATAAATCCATGGCAGGTAGACAGAGGCAGGTGCTTATGAAGTATCCAATCTCATCTAAAGTAACTCAGAAAAGCCCTTCCCTTGAAGCCATATACCTCAGGCAAAGGTGAACACCACACTTCAAAGACTATAAGAAGCACCTGGGCCAGACCCAGGGAACGTTCTACCTGTCTCCCATCCTCACCAGCACTAAGGGCAAGCAAAGTCATGTGTCCCCATGGTCAGGAGGACAGAAATCCCTGTTTGGTTTCAAGTTTAGGAGTACTCATTGTATTAATGTTCTGACTATACTACCATAGGTTTCCTCAAACTGGAAGGCTTAGAACAAGAGAAATTCATCTTTTTTCAATACTGGAACAAAAGTCTGAAATCCAGCCCCCAACCCCAGGCAGATGCTCTTGGCATCCTTGACTCATGGCCACAGCTCTCCAGTGTCTGCCTCATGGGAAACACATACTTCCCTCTGATTATAATCTCACTAACACATGACTTTGTCTAGGACCCGTTGTCCTCCTGAGGATAATCTGGAGTGAGCTCCTCGATTTAAGAGTATGTTTTACCGGGCTGGAGAGATGGCTCAGAGGTTAAAAGCACCGACTGCTCTTCCAGAGGTCCTGAGTTCAATTCCCAGCAACCACATGGTGGCTCACAACCATCTGTTATGAGGTCTGGTACCCTCTTCTGATGTGCAGATATACATGGAAGTAGAATGTTGTATACATAATAAATAAATAAAATCTAAAACAAGAGTATGTTTTACCAAATAAAATGCTATTAACACTTTCAACACATAGGGTAATGAGCATAGATTCTAGGTCACAAACACGAATGAATTGGGTACAGTATTTATCTCATGATGCCTGGCTACTCACTGACTGGACCAGAAACCATTTCATGGCTACCCAGGGTTATAAGACTCATCCATGCCTCTCAATGAAGTTACCTAAGTAGAGTTTTTAAAAGTGATGGTACATTTTTACTTAACTTAAGCTTTTTTGTTGTTTTTTTTTTTTTTTTGAGACAGGGCTTCTTAAGCTTTTAAGACTAAAAGGCAGATTAACAATAACCTGTATGTTTCTTTCTCACCTCCCCTGTCTTCTTCCTTATCCTCCCCTGTAGCTCCCCTCTCTTACTTTTCTCTGTCTCTGTTTCTGTGTGTCTCTCTGTCTCTCTCTTCCTCTGTCCTTCTCTCCCTCTCTCTGCTTTTCTGATAAGGAAAAAAAAGGAAATGCTGTCTATAGTTTGCATATAGGACAGACACAAAAGATTTAAACAGACTTTGGTATCTAATATTAGGACATTTGACATTTGCAGGGGAATCTAAGATAAAAATAGGAGCTTAATTACAGTCTTTTCTTCCAGCCTTTCAGGCAGCATTGCAGCTGTGCATTGGAGCCACTAAGAAGGGACAGGAGCAGGGTTTATGCACCTGCCTTGTTTCCTAATAATGTGGTCTCACAGAAACTACCCATGGAGTAGACTAGAAAGGCTATTGATATCAGATTATTTGCCCTTAGCTATCTATGAATCTGTTCACTGGATCAGTGCTGCACAAAAAGGTTCTCTGCATTGGCCACTTTGGTGAGTGTAAAGAAAAGGGAAGAAAACCCCATCCTCTGTTTAAATTGGAAGTGAAATTCAAAAACTCCCTTTCATCCTAAGGCTTATGAAGATAGTTTAGAGTGCATCCCATGGTCTCTCATTTACTGACCCTCCCTGTGTGCTGAAACATAGGGAATGTTTTCTTCCAAATGCTGTCCATGCTTAAGCTCCATGAATGCTCACAAAGAACCCCAGATGGAAGTCCTAATGTCACCACTACTCTTTGTAGACAGAGAAATCCAATGTAAGAAGTTGGCCTCAGGTCACACAGCTAGTAGCTGTCAGAACAACCAGGCATTGAACTCAAGACATTCATTTGTGGTGACTTCATAAATAATCCATCTAAGTCATGGGGTAGGAAGACTGTGATGGAGCTGGGAGAATATTGACATAGGTGATCTGACTGGGCAAACTGTGTGGAGAGGAAATGTAAGAGCTACCATTAGGCTCACCTGTGTTCCACAAGGACTTTTTCATCTCCTTGTGCTTGCCACTCATCCTTCAGTTGCTTGTTTGCTACATCCTCAAAAAGAGAGAGGGGGGAAATAAAGAAAGAAAAAAGAAACAGCCAGACATGGTGGCTGACATCTGTAATGCTAGCCTCCTGAGTGAGGCAAGGCAAGATGATCACTGCAAGTTCAAGGCCCATCTGGGCTACAGAGTGAGTCCCAGGTCAGGCTGAGCTACAACAACAAGTCTCTCTACTAAGTCAAAACTATGAAATCCTTCACCTTCACTAAGTAACATACAACAGCTGAGCTGAGCTACAGGCACCAGATGTGTTCAAAAGTGTTCACTTTGCTTTCTATATTTCAGATGTTTGATTCTGTGGAAGACATCATCGAACACTTCAAGTACTTTCCCATTGTACTAATAGATGGGAAGGACAAGGCCGGTGTGCGCAGGGCACAGTGCTACCTCACCCAGCCACTGCCTCTCAGTAGGCACTTCCTGACTCGGTACTCTAGCCAGGCACTTCATGAGTAAGTAGCCCAGCCAGTTATTTCCACATCAGCAGCCAGGACCTTGTTTCATCCTCAGCTCAATGGATTCAGTGCTTCTACCATCTTCATTTATCTCAAATTATATTGTCCGTGTCTTCAAGGGATGACTTTTTTGACTCTGTAAAAAAGAAAAATATTCTGTAATGGAACTTGAAAGCTCAATTATGGCTTGAAAGCTTGAGTCATAGAAGAAATATTTGCAACCCGCAAAAAACAAAAAAAAATCAAACCTAGGTTTGAAAAAAGAGTTTTCTAAGCTACAGACACTGTTATCATACATTAGCAATGAGTAGCTAATGCAACAAGATCTGACAGCTTCAATGTTTGCAGGTGGTGTGAGATCCCCAAACTGCTACTTAGTGTAGGATATCAGGTTGACCTTATTTCAAAACCTTTTGCACTAAGATGCTAATCTTTGGATGGTCCCATGTACTGAAGTGAATGTTAGTTAGCTCTATTTATGTGTATCTAGGTGTAATCCTAGAAATTCAAATACAGGGAAGAGTTGTGGTGTGAGAGGGGAAAAGCCCTTGTGAATACCAGCATGAAGACAAAGAGAAGAAATATGTGGACTGTGATGTGAAATGGCCACAGGCCCTGATTTCCACCTACTCTATGAACAGTGACTTCAATGGAACTATCAGACCCATAGCAAGAAACCCAGAGCTCATCCCAACCATAAAGCAAGCATTCATTTGAGTAACAGTGAAATGTTTTGAATAGTTCAGTGATACATTTTCATTCGTGGGAAGAGAAGAATTATCCTCAAAAGAGTACTTAAGCTTACAATAGCACCGCCCATCATGATGTCTCTTCCCAGGAAAAAAAAAAAGGATTTGAGTGTATTCCTACTCCATAATGCAGATGAGACAGGGACATTCAAAGGTCTCATTAGTATAAGAAGTGAGGCTGGACTGTAACCCAATTGGCATGTTCATATCACTGCATCATCCCAGATATATTCTCTACTCTATGGACTTTTATAATTGAGCTATAAACTTTCATTATTAGAACTAAGCTTTAAAAATACATTATTTATCCACCTTAAATCCTTATAGTACAATAAGTTCGCCAAAATAAGGTGCCATTGAATAAATGGGTATACCATATGCCATGACACCAATTATTACCAAATACTACATGTACAATTCATGGAGTATTTATGCAATTTGAATTTCCATGAAGAAATAAAACCAGGCAGAGGGCAGGAGTTGAAGTTAAGTTGGCAGAAAGCATACCTATCCCTAGGCTAAATCCACAGCACTGCATAAAAACGAGTGTGGTGGTACACACCTAAAATCTCAGCACATGGAAGGCAGAGGCAAGAGACTCAGAATCTCAGGGTCATCCTTGACTATATAGCAAGTTCAAGGCCAGCTTGGATTGCATAAAACCATGCCTGAGAGAGAGAGAGAGAGAGAGAGAGAGAGAGAGAGAGAGAGATTGTCTCTTCTATAAAATGGTGGCAGACAAGATGCTCTTTGTAATAATATTCAGACTAGAGTCTACCCAAAGACTAGAGCATCATGCTGAGCAGAAAGGGCCAGGTCCTCGTGCCTCTTCATGCCAACTTCTTGGCTGTAGACCTGAGCTTTGAGTTTTGTAACACACACTGGAAGTACTCACCAGGGACTTGTCCACTGAATTGCTGGTCAACATCCCTGTGTTTACTATTTCCAGTGTCTGTTACTATAAGGGTATTTTCTTGTAATCTATGACTATGGAATAGCATAGGAAAATTGAATGTATTTCATTCTTACAGTATTTGTGACTAAAGCAGGGACTGGGAAGTACAGTTCTTCTGTTCTTTGGCTATTGGTTTTATTGGATCCCTAGGTGAAAATTCAGTGATGGGTAATATGCTAGAATGTTTTGATCTTTTCAAATATTATCTCATTTTCAATTTTAAAAATGTCACTTGACACCTAGCCTCAGTAGGACAATGAAATTTCAGCTTCATCTGATTATGGCATCTGTGAATTCCAGAGATTTCTTTTGGACCACATATCCACACAGAATCTGAATCTGTGTCTCCTCCAGTCATCATTCGGCATTGTCATTGCCCTTGTTGCATGCTGGATGTCCTTGTTGCTAGGTGGTATTGTAGATGTTGGAAACTTTGGAGTGAGTGAGAGAGACAGACATGGAAGTGTACAAATAAACAGGTAGTCTAAGTTAGTTTCCCATTACTCTTTCATGTCTCTATTTTAATATATCACTGAGATATTTAGAGTGAGGAAGATATTAAGTATTTTAAGAAGCTCCTTTAAAGGTGACTTCAAAAATTTCCTGAGACCAGAAAATATGTTACCAACTTAGCTGAGAGAAGACTTTTCTTCCTACAGGTAGAGGTTGGGGATGGGGGATTGCTTATATGTATAAGCAATCTAATCCATTTTAATTAATATAAAAAGTCAAATTTAACTCATTATCCAATATAGTTATTATCATGTGTGTGAAAATAGATAAGTTTTAAAGATAGTCTATACTATATATGATTCACATTCTACTTGTACATCTATTGTTTGAGCCTCAGTAATCCAGCTAAGCATATCTGCCCTTTAATATTTGAAGTTTATAGATTGTTAACTTAAATGAAAGCAAATATGTAAGTCAATGTTGTGATATTCTCTATAAGTGAGTGGTGAAGCTTGAAATTCAAAGCATAGCTTAATTTCCCTTGTTTCATGTACTATTGCCCCTAAAGCACTTTAGAAATCACACTTAGGGCAAAGTTAAGAAATATTTCTAGAACAATTATTGGCAAAAGAGTACTATGCTAGATTCTAGGAATAATGATGAAGAAAACACAAGCTATGTGACTCAAAGCTCAAAGCAGGCAAATTGTTGTCAAATTAGCCAAAAAGGTAAAAAATAAAAGCACAAGAATTAGCAAGGGAGGTGGATCAGCTGGGAACTTGACCTGCTGATAGGAGAATCAAATGATACAATCACTATAGAAGACAATAGAGTCTCTCCAAAAATTAAGAACTACCACTAGAGACAGCAGGCCAACTCATGTGTGCCTATCTGGAAGTACTGAGGGGGAACCTTGAAGAGCTGTCTGCATTTCTATTTATTGTTAAGTTGTCCTCAACAGCCAAGATTTAAAAAATAAGATCAACCTAAACATACATCGCTGGATAAAAAATACATGTCACAAGATCTCACAAGAAAGTACTATGGCCATAATGAAGAAATGTGGTCATAGCTGAAAACATGGGATGAAATTTATGGACAATATACACATTAATGTGCATAAAGCTTTAGTTGTACTAGTTAAATAACTATAGAGATGTGCTTTTTACAACACCATGCCTCTGGTCAGCAGTAATGTTACTGCACACCTAAAACTGGATAAAGAATGGGTCTCATGTTACCACAAAAGGAGGGGATGAACAAGTTTGGGAGGCATTGATATGCTTATTACCTTTATTGTGGTTATGGTTTCTGGAATGTATGCATATCTTCAAGTATATCCAGATGTACACATTAAATGTGCCCGTATTTGTTTGCTCTCCCCCTCCCCCCATCAGCTATACTTCAACAAAGCTATCTCCCTTTTTTTGTTTTTGGGGTTTGTTTTTTTGGTTGGTTTTTGGTTTTTGGTTTGTTTATTTTTTTGTTTGGTTTGTTTTGTTTTGTTTTGATTTTCAAGACAGGGTTTCTCTGTAGTTTTGGGAGATTGCCCTGGAACTCTCTTTGAAGACCAGGCTGGCCTCTAACTCACAGAGATCCAAAGCTATCTCCTAAAAAGGAGTATAAGAAGTATACAAAATAACAGATGCATGCAAAACAGAATAATAGATTTGTAAGTTCCTTCCTTGTCTGTCACTGCACGGGTTGGAGGGAGCAGAGTCATAGGGAGGTGTGGCCAGGGAAGACTTTGCCGAGATGTTCTGGTAGGGACTTGAAGACATTGGGAATGTACTTGGTACATGTGGGGACCTTGCGTTCTAAGATTCCAACAGTGACCACATGCTGGGGGGTTAGATGAAGACAACAGAGGCAACATCCTCAGGGAAAGGCTGGTGATACATTCAATATTTCTAGGGAAACTGGCTCTCTGGCTAGAAAAAGAAAAAATCTGTAATTATTTCTCTCCTTCAAGTCATAACAAAATATATTCTATATATAAATCAAATAGCTGCAAGCAAAGTCAGAATTGAGTCCTTTATTCTCATCTAATAATTTTTATGACTTTGTGGTAGAGAAGGTGCTCTTAAGTGAGATGAAAGCATAAATCATAAAGGGAAAGATTGATAGATTCATTACATCAAAATTGCAAATGTTTGCAAAAGTCAAGCAAAGCCAAAAGGCAATTAAACAACATGACATGTGCATACAAAGGGCATAAACAACTCAGAGAAAACACTCCAGGCCTTAAAGTTAAGACATGTAGCCTTGCTGAGTGTGAGGTTATCTGAACTGGCCAGACGGAGTTATCAGTGTTAGCCTAGAACAGTAGTTCTCAACCTCCTAATGCTGTGACCCTTTGTTCCTCCTGTTGGGGTAACCCCCAACCATTTAAATTATTTTTATTGTTTCTTCATAACTGTAATTTTGCTACTGTTGTGAATCGGAATGTAAATATCTGTGTTGTTCAATGGTCTTAGGTGACCCATGTGAAAGAGTCATCAATTCCAAAGGGCTCATGACCCACAGGTTGACAAACACTTGCCTAAAAGGAGAAAACAACAACAACAAAAAGCTAACTTCCAAAACAAAAATCTGGAAAGACTGCTGAGTTTGGCATAATGACTTGCCATTAAATGCAGGTGAACCATGAGGGTAAAAAGATTTTATCTACAATCCTAAAAATCCATTGTAACCAGGATCAGAGGTTAACTCAGCCAGCCTAGCTGTGGTAGCCACAGGTCCAGGGAACAATTCAAATTAGGCCTGTAAGGTTCAATGGCAACTGTGGGGTACTTGCTATGCTGGACAATGGGGCTTGATGAAAGTTCTCCCTGCCTAAGGGGG